CTGGTCCCAATTCGGGAGGGTGACGAAAAGGTTCTGGATGGCGATGGTTCTCCTCTGCTTATGGGCAAGAGCCGCGCGGGCCCCGTGAAAGCTTTGCATGGAGATAATACCGACTGGATTGGCATTGGTAACTGCTTCCGACGAGGCTTGTCCCCTGCGAATGCCATTCGGCCTTTGTCTACCGGGTTGGTTATAGGTGCAGGTGGTATGGCTCGCGCTGCCGTCTACGCCATGATCCATCTGGGGGTGCAGAACATCTTTGTGTTCAACCGCACCGTTGCCAATGCGGAGAAGCTAGCCCGGCACTACAACCAACAAAACCTACAGTCGCCCGGCCGAGCCGGGTCAACGACCCGCCCTCATGTTCATGTTCTGCAATCGCAACAAGACAGCTGGCCTGTCAATTACAAGCAACCGACCGTCATCTGCTCCTGCATTCCCACCCACAGCATCGGAGGGGAACCGGCGCCCAATAATGAGATTCCGTCCCAGTGGCTGGAGAGCCCGACGGGTGGTGTAGTTGTCGAAGTAAGTCTTCCTGGTGCTTGGCATTATCCCGCGCAAACATAATCCCCTGCGCACCGAACTGACATTCTCTGGTTAGTTGGCCTACAAATCCCTCAACACCCCGCTGATCAAGCAAATCCGCGCGCTCTCCCACCGCGGCTGGGTGGCATTAGATGGATTGGATGTTCTCCCGGAGCAAGGATTCGCCCAGTTTGAATTGTTTACGGGCCGCCGTGCGCCGCGACGGTTGATGCGCACGGTGGTCTTGAAGGAATACAAGGAGGAAGAAGGGCAATACGACCCGCAAGCCATCCAGAATCGGCTTGAGAATCTGAAAGGGCAATCCACTTGATGATGAGGTTGGCTGTATCGCCGCTGTAATGTGATCGATGTGATATCGAAATCTTTAGGCTCAATGAGACATGACTTGTCAGACACTACTAGTTGACGACCTCTCTCACATTTAATCCACATAATCGAAAGAGCCCGTCTGCCCATTGAAATAGAACCCCCCTCTGTCGCCACCCGGGGAACGTCCGACTCACGTGGTCCGTGAAGGCGATGTAGGCGTCGACAAAGACACTGCCGATGCCGTTGGATCCGTTGTCGTTGTCGTTGTCGTTGGCGTAGCTGCCGCGGAGGTTGTCCGGGGACTTATCCCGCCGCTTGCTCCGGCGCCAGCTCTCCCGGCATTGGTTCGCGGTGTACAGAAGCAGTTCTGAGGCCTGTCGCCTCTGGTACCCATCGCTGTAGTCTTCTGCATCGCTGTTTTGGGTGTTGGCGGAGTCATTGGCCTCTTGCACGATGTAGGCCGCTGCGAGGATGGGGTTCGGGTGGACGATTGTCTGGACCAGTAGTCAGTTAGTTCCGATGAGAGACGCGAAGGATGGGGGTTGCGCCGGCTTACCTCGATATGCCGCACGGGATCTCTTTCAAAAAGCTCCGGATCGAGCCGTCGGGGGATGGCGGGGATCGGCGTCCGAGTTCGGTGAAGAAGACGAGGAGGGATTCGTAGAGCTGTTCTTGGAGATGGGTGGTGTTGGACTATTCGTTCCAGGGAAGCTTTTCTTTTCTTGAAGAAAGAAGGGGGGGGAGTAATTTAGGTATTGTAGGACTAGGACTGCATGACAAGCTATTCCCATACCCGAAGCATCTGCTTGCAAAACTCCTTGGCCTCGTTGAGGTCGCTGCGGTGCAGCGGCGGGCTGCGATCCTCGCCCTCTTCGTCGGAGTTGGGATAGGATAGCAGCTGCGACACGTCGATGGCGACGCGCTCGAGCTTTTGGTTGTCGGGATTCTCGTCGGAGGAGGAGAATGTCGTGATGGTTTTCGGGATTAGGGTTTCGGAGTCGGCGATCCAGCCGGGAGCGTTCGGAGGGTTAGCTGGTTGTATATAGCGAGGGAGTTGGGCTGTTGGCGTACGGTCCAGATGTCTTGACCCAGTTCTCGAGATGTCGAAGACTTTCGTTGAGGTCTGTGATGTTGTTTGTTGCGGTGGTTACTTGAGACATGATGGAGGAACAGATGGATAGGAGGGAGGGTGGTATCAAGTGCTATAAGCTAGGGGCGGTGGGTGGATTCGACGCAGTTCAAATACAACACTTGATGGGGGAAGTGCTTTCAAGACATCTGGGAACGTCACCAGCGTAAGGTAGGTGGGCTGCTACCTCCTGAAGCGTGATCGTCATTCCTACACAGAATCGAATGTTTGCTGCAGTGGATGCTTAGCTCCCCCACTTGTTCCCATCCAGTGCGGAGATCGGATCTCCACTGAGAGACGCGGTCACTGGTCAGATTCAGGTCTGCAGCTCAGCGGCCCCACTCCGTCATGCTGCAGCTGAGTATCTAACTGATCCCACTATGCACCCAGGGAGACGGAGACGATTGGCAGTTCGCATGCTGGCTGACTGAGGCTGCAAGCTGGGTCCGATCTACCTCGTCATCCTCATGAGCTCCTAGAGAACGATGGAATTGACAGTCGCTGTTCGCGCTAGTGTTGCACTAGCTCACTCGTACTGTACAAATCACCCAAGTGCGCCTCAGGGTTGCCAATTGGGGATACGCCTGGGGTGCAATCGTCACCTAGTTGAGAGTGCTTGAGTGAACTATCTGGAGAAGAACACAACAGGTCCACTCGCTAATCCATAGGGATGAAAGACTTGGGATTTAAAGCTGCTAGTCAATCATGGTTTCATAAGCTACCAGGCGAGAAGAGCTCGAATGGATATTGGATTTTCCGAGACCGAAGCTACAGTATCGGGTGTCTGCACGGCTTCCATGGCACGCTTAGGCATGGATACGAGGGGTACTGCGAAAAGGCCTCGAATAAGCATCCCACGCTATCATTCAAGCATCTATTTTGATCATCTGCTCAAATCCTAATCGAAAATGACGCGATCTTTATCTCCCTATCAAGAGATTAGTCAGCCGAACAAGCCGAATCTCACGATAAGGAAATTTGAAGCATAAACAACGCCCCCACCCGTAATTCCCCTCCAGTGTCTCCTCTACCTGACACTCAATTGAACTATTGTTCCATCCCACACAAGCAAAAACCCATCCTCACAATGCCCACCTTCCCGCTAATCGTGCTTCCCCGCCCCGGGACCACAATTCCCGAGCCAGCGTCCTCCATCCCCGCCCCCAGCGAAGCAGCCTTCACCTCCACCTTCGGCACCGTCCTGCCCCAAGCCACCTACCTCCAAACCCCAGCCGGCCAAGCAGCCTACTACTCCATCCCCCCAACAGCCACTACCCCGGGACCTGGCCCCACGAGAATCCTCTTCGTGCACGGCGTGCAAACCAGCGCGATAGGCATGGCCCCGCTGGCGCGCGCCCTCGCCGCGCGCTTCCCCGCCGCGCACTGCGTCCTCTTCGACCACTGGGGCCACGGCCTCTCCGCGACGCCGCGCCAGCCACACGCGCCGCCCCTCTTCCACGACCTCATTTTGGCCGTGCTCGACCACCTGCGCTGGCCCTCCGCCCACCTTGTCGGCTACTCCTTCGGCGGCGCCACGACCGCCACCTTCGCCGCGCGGTTCCCGGACAGGGTGGAGAGTATGGTCCTCGTCGCGCCGGCGGGGTTACTCCGCGCCGCGCAGTTCACCGAGCAGCAGCGGGAGCTTCTGAAGGGGGGCGATGGTGACGAGGCCGTCGAGCAGCGGGCCCGCGACTGGATCCTGGAGTGGTTGGAGGGCGGCCCGTTGGTGGTGCCGGCGGACTGGGAGGAGAGGGTCGCGAGAGGCGAGGTCGTGGCGCAGAAGGTAAGGGCGTGGCAGGTGGAGGAGCATCCGGGCCATGCGGCCAGCGTGGTGGGCATCTTTCGGGATGGTGGGGTCATGGATATGCATGACTCCTTTAAACAGGCGGCGGAGAAGGGGATTCCGGCGCGGTGTGTGTTAGGCGAGTTGGATGATTTGTGTACGGTGCAGGAGTTGGCGGAGCTTGGGTTTGGGGATGTTCATGTCGTGCAGGAGGTGGGACATGGGGTTGTCAGGGAGAGGGTGCCGGAGGTGGCGGGGTTGGTGGCGGAGTTTTGGGAGAATGGGTAAAGGATATGAGGTGAACCCTTGGGTGGAGGTCGTGGATGCATTGTATTGAGGTCAGGCGTGGGATTTAGTCGTGTGGACTGTTTATACTATTACTAGAGTCGTCATATTGTGTCAAGTCAGAAAACCGTTGAGAACTCGTTGGTGCTTGTTTTCCTCTTGGAAGTGGTTGTCATGGGGTAGAATGATAATCCAGGGGAGGGAAGCAGATAGGGCAAAATCACCACGTGCTCGATAGTCTGAAAAATGGCGCACAAGGTTAGAGGGATAGATTATCAATAAGTGTTCAAGCTTACTATTGATGGCCTCGAAGGTATTCCGCGCCTCAGAACTCGGAGATGTAGCTTGGAGAATCATTGAAAATGCTTTCAGTAAAGAGGACTCGGGACCGATCACAGAAACGTGGTGATGTGGACTTTGCTTCTTCTGCTCATCATAGATCCAAGCTTTTCCCCTTGTCTCACCGGGGGGGGACCGGGTATGGACTCGAACTTCCACATCAAATCGTGTCCGTTCAGATAGTATAATACTAATCCTTGAAATCGCAGTCCTGTTTCAAAAACCCCAAGCTTCTGATCTCCACGGCGTACGGCCGAAACTCGTGATAGATCCTTTCACAGTACCTTAGTTCAAGACCAACTTCCTAAGCCACGATCTCAGATAGTCTGTGATACAGAGAAAAGATTACATGATTCAATGAACTGTCAACAACTTGGGCAGACTTGTTCATCAAGAAGACTTTAATCTTACATAGAAAGTTCTGTACGCGCTGTGGGTTGCTCACTTTCCTCCTATTTCCCTGTCTCCATCTCAATGGCAAGACAACATCTAGCTTCGAGCTGTCTTGCTTGGCAAGAGTCTAAACCCCTCTGGAATCATCCCTAGAATAGGTATCTGGTTGACTAGCTCCCAGACAATTTGTCTTGCTAATACCTTTCACGTATCTCATACGTGGTACGCATGACGCAGATTTGTGAGCACCCGACCCAGACCCTGGTGCACCTCTACCTGAAAGGCCTCAAATGGATACCACTCTCCATCCACGCTGATGCACCCCTCTTTCTCCTTAGGGGTAAGGCGGTACGCCGAGACCTTCCGCATGTGCACATCGCCGAGCTCGAAGCATTTTCCCTGCGGCAGCTTGACGGTAGCATCAAGTGCACCTACGATCCCAATTGTGTCGAACACCGTCATGACATCCAAGAGCCCGTCGCTGGGTAGCGCGGCCGGGAAGAAGTTCGTGTCCTTGGCCACAATCGCCATGTTACTGGCGTAGAAGCTCGACAACCCCTCCCCGGAGACCACTTCCCAGTCCTCCGGGATATCGGCGCGGACCGTGCCATACTTCAGCGGCAGACCACTCGAACCCGTCCCTGACTCTTCAGTCAACATATCCGGTGATGCCAATGACTGACCCCTCGCACGTTCATAGTACTCCTGGATCTCCACCTTATCCCCCATGACCGTCTTAAAAGCCAGCTCACAGGGATACGCCGTCCGCTGCGCAATCGTCGTCAGAACGCCATAGATAAAGCGATGATCGCCCATCCACCGCAGATGCTCCGTCTTGAGGTCCGAGTCCGCCAGCACACCCAAAGACTGCGACAGAAAGGATACCGTATGGCGATCGCCCTGGGTGATCGAGAGCAAATCCAGGGGCATTGTTACGCCTTTCACAATCGCCAGCGCCGCCTGCGCGACATCGTCCGTCCCGAACAGATTCCACGCCATCGCATTGCCCGACCCACAGGGGATCATGGCCACGGCCATCGTGGCCAGCGCCTTGACGGCATCCGGCCTGCGGGCCAGCCCGTTGAACGCCTCGTGGGGCAGCCCGTCGCCCGAGCAGCACACAATCGCGTCGTAGGCGTCGAGGTCGATCTGCTCGGCGATCTCACTGGCGTGGCCCTTGTACCGCGTCTCCTCGACGTCGAAGTGGCAGTGTGCCGCAGCGAGGATGGGTGCGGCGAGCGTGCGGAATTTCCTCACCGCGCCGGAGCAGAACGGGTTGATGATTACCTTGAGGCGTTTGAAGGGTTGCGCGTGGCGGTAGGCGCGGGTCAGAAGGTGCTGCGTCCAGGTGGTGGCCTGGACGTGTTCTTCTGGGCGGACGCGGTAGTGGATGATTTCTAGCTCGTTGCCGTCTACGTAGGTGATTGTGAGGCTGGTGGGGGTGACTGCTGCGTTTATGATGCCGTAGTGGTCGAGCTTGTAGTTGGATTGGTGTTCTGGGGAGTTGTCAGTGGGGGTATGTGTGTTAGGGTTGAGTATACAGAAGGAACGGGGGGTGAGTTAGGGCACGCTTGGTTTTAGAGTGCAATGCTATCCATACCTCGTTGGGATAATAACCCGCAGCAGTATTTCTTGGTTCTTGTCCTGCCGCGGGAGGAGGGACGGTTATCTAAGGAAGGAGACTGGGTCAGCTAGGATACCGTGGGGATGGAACTATGATTCTGGGAAATCATACCGGTTACGGTGACGAATTCATCGTCTAGTGACAGAGTCACTGACTTGTCTACTTTGAGTGTGGTGGGGGGTTCAGGTGGACTCATTGCGTGGTGGGAAGGAGGTGTTGGTGTGTTCGATTGTCAATGAAGATAGTCATAGAAAGATTGGATATTAATTAAAACCGAGATAGAGTGAAAATTAGTCTATGTTTCTTGTGATCAGGGGAAGAAGGTCTAGGGCCATTGCAAGTAAAGCCTGTTGACATGACAGTTTGGATCAGGGAGGAAAAGCCCGTGACAGTTGCCACGTAAGACTATACCCGGATGGGGTTAGTTGATGTGCTCCGTAGAGTGGATCCACATCCGAACATTCCGAGACAATGCAGAAATGTACTGCTGCAGGAGGCGGTTCATGCTCAATAACAGTATTGATGAAAGCCGGCTATTCGTGCTAGTTTGCAAGGTACTAGCCTAGCTAGTATCATCATGTCTCGTGGTTTGACCGCCTAGTGGACAGCTTTTCTACTAATACCGTTCCGAAAGAGAAAACTAGATATATATATTCTTTTTAGAGTGGTAGTCCTCATAAGGAGAATTTCTTAATATCAAGATTTCACTGGCACCTTGGAACCTCAAAAGCTTTAGTAAAGATTATAACTACAGAGCTTTCCTCCAGCTAAGGAATAGTAATACAGAGTGTGCCTAGAACGGCGGGCACTTAGTCAGGCGGATGCTCAAAAAGAGGGATGGAAGGACGCAAAGGGGACTCCCACTGGAGCTTAATGAGGCGGTTGGTAAGATATACTGCTGGTAGGACTGAAATGTATGCAAATTGACACAGCTAGCCGACTGTGGAGTGCTTCCACCAGGGAGGAAACGAGACTACAAAAGATTCAATCCGTCCTTAGTTGCACTTTGCTCTCTTGATCATCTGATAACACATTCCCATGGAAATACCCTTCTCACTGTGGCTCAACCATCTCTCACCGAATAGAACCCTATCATGTGCCAAGACCACGAATGGAAGAAATGCAATGTCTCCAATTGAAGCGGTACCCACCACTTTGCAACACGGCATAGCCCGCCCAGATATAGTCCGGCCACGGCCACTGAACATTCCACAACAGATCCAGCCGCGTCCAGGGCATCGGGCCATCAGCTGCAAAGACGACGTTCACAAAACTTTAGTCAGCGATATTACTCTCATCGCTCTCTTGCAACCGCCAGCATAGCGGCAGAATGGTCGAAGATCTCGAGTGACGGCTGCAACATCAGAAAGCCTACGTTCAAAGTCCCCCAACCATAGAAGCCCTGTGGCACGCGCGCTGGGCGCGCAGTATGATTAAGGCGCAGCTGCGGAAGACCGGCCAGCACATATGAAACTGGCACCGGTAGGACCCTCCCACTCACATGCACCGACGTGGGCAGGGGAGTCTTCAGCTGGAGCTCTGGAAGGTCCCAGACAGCATCGATAGACCGAGTCAAGACCGAGTCTGCATCCAGCAGCAGAGTGCGATCGTACTGCACCATCTGCCACAGCTGTATGCGCGTGAGCACATGAGCTCATCGCGCATCCTTGAAGCGCGTCCAGTCGGCTTTCAGTTCCGGCAGCTCGATCACATGCGCACCGTCGCGTCGCAGGCAGTCCCGCTTGATCTCGTCCACCCCCTCGTGGACGATGACTACGAAATCCAGGTTGAGTTTGGCGCGTGTTTGGAGGCGTGTAGGACTTGGGAGGCGAGAACCAGAAGTCTTGGAATTCCAGAAGTGGCGTGGAGATCACCTTGAGATGAACCGTAGTGCTCATGCATGTATGATTCATCAGAGTAGTCACCTTCCCCATTTGCATTGAATCATCTTGCATTTCAATCGAGTGTTGGTGTCACACAGACGATTTGGGAATTATATTTTGGACTGAAGATCGCCGTACTTATGACACGTTCCCTGTGTAAATCGCGATCGTCAAGCTGCGATCGATGAGCTGTGAACGTCGATCGTGTGAAGCGATCTCATTCCGATAGGTCGAGTGCCACGAGACTAGTATTCATGGCCCGGCCCCTATCTCGCATAGGGGAGTTTGCCGACGAACGAAACTCAGCTTGGTGGAGCTTCGAGAGTTATTTGGGGGTCCTTCACATGAATGAGACAGCATCTTGCGCGGATTGATACGTCCCATTGCCTTGGTGCAACGCACAGTCAGCTACTCACATTAGTCCAGTCAGATTGACCAGTCATGAATCCGAGACTATCTGTTCAGAGATGGGAGTCATGGTAAGCTAGGTGATAATTCACTTCTCTGGTTCAACTCCAACCCCATCTCGAGACCTTGACCCGCCTGAGTCTCACTTCCAAGCGCACTGACATTCCATGAGACGAGCGGCGATTCATTCAAAGTAGCTCCAACATAGCCTAGTGTATCTTGTTTAAGTCGGAAGCAGAGCGAAAGATAACGTTAAAAGCATCTGAGCCATCCTGATCTGGCCGGGCGACTTGCACCCTGGGAAAAATTCATCATGAACCTCAAGAACGGCGGACAAAGCTAAGAGCCAGATCTTAAAAACCGAACCCGAAATTTGAATGCAGTCTTGAACTACAATTGGGCTATTTTCCCTTGCACAACGGCAATCTTGTTCCTGGGTGAGCCCGACCTTGACCTCCTAGACCCCGCCCACTGACGAATGTGCAAATAGGCCCTTGTAAAATCAGCATTTGGACGGGTGTTTAGCTGACTCCCGGTGGGCACCGGACTGCACCGTGCTCGCCATGATACTGGGTCAATTCCTGCTGTTCCAGCTCCCGCCCTACTACACCCTCTGGGGACTATGCCTCCCTATACGATCCTTCGCGTATGCGAAGGCACCGAAGACACGGTCATTCCGCAGTCTGAAAATATGTCTTGTCACGAAGGCGAAAAATGTGCAGGTAGGTCATGGCATTCATGACGCCGATATTCCGGCTGGACGCAATGCCTAAATCAGGGAGGGCCACAGATGGTAGTACACACCACCCAGCACTGGAATCGGCTCTGCGACAGGCACCGAATCAGCCTCCAGGTGGTCGTTCGTTGACTCAGTGCCAAACCCTTTCGCAGGCATGCTCCCTGACCTTGTGGAGCTGCTGGAGGTACCGTCTTCTTTCCGGCAAATCACGCAAGGCACAAAGCGAGAGTCCTGGAATAGTGCCGTCGGCATTGGCGATTGTCGGAGCAAGACTGGTTCCTGCCTCTAGACGAAGAGACGGAGATCACTGAGGAGGGTTTGAGTGCGTGCGTGGACTTCATTGAGCAAGGCGCCGAGGATATTGGCATGGTAAGATCGCGCTTATGTTTTGCGCAAACTTGCTGCTGAATCATCGCTTCTCGGGGAACAATCTTCTACAACGCCCACAATCACTGGAAGAACCCTCTCCTGACGGTAGCCGAGGCCCTCCGAGTGGTGGAGGACTTTGGCCGGTTCCAGCTGCCGGTCCAGCTCTTTCAACGTCCATTGCTCGGCTGGATACAAGGCAGCCCTCATTTGATCAATGGGCAAGCGGAGACTGCAGTCACCTGGGATACATATTGTCTGGCTTAGGGTTTTTGGTTTGCGTACCATGTGAGTGAATCGATTGTTCTTCCAAGCACGATAATTCTAGAATGGAGTTGACTAATGAGATCAAGTGAAATGGAAAGGCTGCGAAAGAAGGTTTCAAAACGGGCTGGATCCATGCCGTCGCACGCGAACAGCCCCCGGAGAGCTTGGCGGATCTCGTCCGACAACGACGAAGATGGTACAGCGGAATCATGTCCATTCCAGACTGGTCGGTCTGTCTGGCATTGGCGATTCCTATGCTGGAGCCTTTTGTGCATTTGGGCCTGTAAGTGCTCACTCTAGATTGTAATGCCATCGTTGACTAAGGATTAATTGGTTTAGTACTATCTCCATCGCTTATAGCTGGAGTGTATTGCTATCGCATCATGTTTGTCTGGTTGACTTGGAACCTCTCTGTTCATCTTCATGGACGCGTGGTAGGATGTGTGATGCAGGATCTCGATCATACCGGAACAACAGCGCCGGATTTGATATGGCATGTTATTTTGGTGTGATGCCGGGGCCGGTGGTTGATCTGATCCCATCAGTAGCTTTCTGTGTATCTCTGGCTTGGCCAGAGAAGGACTTTACAGTGACTAAGAAGTGCTGAGAATCGGGACTCTCATCGGTCGGAACTATAATGTCTCTCCGGTAGTACTCTTCAGGGCGAATTGCGTGAAGAGGGGGATAAAACAAGTAATCACAATAACCACGATCCAGAGCGGGAACCTTGATCTTGTTCGCAGAGGCTGACCAAATCCCAGCTTTGTGTAAGTGAGGGTCCAGTCGTTCCAATCTGGCGATATGCAAGTGTAGAAGTTGTAGAATAGGGAGAATCTGCAGGCAATTAGCAGGGCGGGCGTGGCCCAGAGGGGAAGATCCATGACTTACGGGTAGATCATCGAGTTCCAGCCATTTGAATCAATGTACCAGTTGGTGCAGCCGCCTTTGGCCCAAATGGAGTCTTTCGAAGCTAGCTGCACTTTCCTGGTCCACCGCAGACACGCTTCCTCCTTGACCTCCAGGGCTGCGACTTTACCGTTCAGTACAGGCTCGGCGAGGTGCAGGATATAGGTGATGGAGTTCTCAATACCGGCCATGACACTAGTGTGCCCAACCGAAGAATTTGGTCCGTGGATAAAGAAAAGATTGGGGAAATGGTCCATTGCGACACCTAAATAACCTTGTGGTCCTCCCCTTGCAGCCCATAAGTCGTGGAGATCGGCTTCATCTGTCCCCTTGATGCGCATAGACGAGAGAAGATTTGCACTTGGGCTATATCCTGTCGCCAGGATGAGTACATCAGTGGGCACTTTGACTTCCAGGCCGCCGTGGTCCAGGATCACTGAGGTGTGCTCGAACCGCTTGATGGGTGAATTGTGAAGGCGAAACCTCGGATCGTATAAACTGTCAAACCAGCCTGGATCGAGGATTAGCCTCTTACACCCAACCGCGTATCTTGGCGTGAGCATGCTATGATATTCCTTCGGGGCCCTCTGGCCCAGGTAGCGCATCAGTATCCGTTGTAACCATCTTTGCAGCTTGCCTCCCTTGGGATGCGGCCTATAGAAGGTGAAGTGGAACAGTTCGTAGATGCTGAAAAGCACGAGACGGGCCAACCAGGCGCCTAGTCTGCTCCTGGTAATCAATGGCATGCATCGATTCCATAATTCCAACAATTTACCCGAGTAAGGATCCGCAGTGACCCAGTGAGGCGAACGGACAATTTGGGTGACTGATCCTGGCCCAATCGTGCCCCCGGGAAGCAACAGTTGCGGCACGAGCTGCGCAGCGCTGCATCCCCCACCTAGGACCGTGATGTCTTTGCCCATCAAGGGAATAGAGTCATCCCACTGCGCCGTGTGCATTGTATGGCCCTGAAATGTCTCGATGCCTGGGATATCTCTCAATACCGACATGTCGGGAGTTCCGACCTTGCCGACTGCGCTGATCACGATTTTGGCCCTTACAGTGGTTTGACTCTCGGGGGTGACGACCGTCGCCTGCCATTCATCTCGAGTGGCATCCCACGTCAACTCCATGACGGCGCTATTGAGTTGGATCCTATCTAGGAGTTTGTACTGCTCGCAGATCGCAAGCAGGTAGGCGTACATCTCCTTGCCAGTAGCCTTGGGACCCGACCAGTTTGCCTTGGGAGCGAAAGAATAAGAGTATAGTGGTGAGGGTCTAGCTAGTCGGTTAGGTTCTGTAGGAAGGCAGCCTGAAGTGAAAGGCTTTTGACCCGAGACTCACGAGTCAGTAGCTACCCCTGGGTACCGGTGACTCCACCATGTCCCCTAATTTATGTCAGCGTGATGTTAAAACGAGCATGCAGCGCCATGAACTGAAGACATACACCGATTCCGCCCTGACCCTCAAAAATCATGAATTGATCCACTCTTGATTTGCGTTGCAGCTGGCACGCACATCCGATGCCAGATATTCCAGCTCCGATGATAATTACCGGGTAGTAAAGGCCATAATCACCATTGCTAATATCTGGCATCGTGGCTTGCAAGAACACAACACAGTTTGCAGCGATAGAATAGTAGCGGCAAGCCTGGCGCCATATGAGAAGGGGGATTGTGGCATTTATCAGGCCATGGAGACGCCACCGATGATCTGCAGGGCGAAGCAAGGGGGCGGGGGAATCACATAGGTTGCACCCCCTGTCAGTCCTTGGTGCAACCTTTTTCTCTCTAGGATAAAAGGCAGCATGATGTCTTCTCTCTCCTCATCTTCGGAAGTCATAGTGGCTCATGGCACAATGCAGAAGCACGAATTCAGATCTGATTGGGACATCGTAATTGTTGGGGCTGGCTTGGCCGGCATTAACATGGCCTATCGGGTTCAAAACCAGCTTCCTCACTGTCGATATGTTGTTATCGAAAGCAAGAGCATTGTAGGCGGCACTTGGGACACGTTTCGTTATCCTGGTCTCCGCGCAGATTCCGATATTTATACTTACTCGTATTCTTGGTTTCCATGGAATCAGAAGACCAAACACCCCGATCGGGAATCGATCTCACGATATTTGGCCGCCGCTGCCAGCTCGTTTCGGCTTGGGAATAAAATTCTTTTCAATCACAAACTACATTCGGCACATTGGTCAAGCAGCTTGCGCCAGTGGGAGCTGGTATGCCATCATCACAAAGCACCACCCTCCGCTGTGGTACTACGCGCAAGATTTGTCATCTTCTGCACTGGTATATTTGACCACGACGAGGCCCGAGAAGCTGAAATTGCAGGGTTGAATTCATTTTCAGGCCCAGTGGTACATCCCCAGTTCTGGCCCGACGATTTGGACTATTCGGATAAACATATCCTACTGATCGGTAGCGGAGCAACGGCAATGACATTACTCCCGGAGCTTGCTCAAACTGCTGCATCGGTGACGCTCGTCCAGCGAAGTCCAGGTTACCTCCTTACTCTCCCCGAGAGACGGCATCGGAAGAACGGAAGTTGGCACTGGGTCCATCACCTTAAATGGCTCCTCTGGATGATCGTTCTCAAGCAGTTTTTCCAGGTCTGTCACTGGTTCCCGGGACTGATAAAGCAATTATGCGTTTTCTGGGCCCGATGGCAGCTTCCAGCCCATGTTCCCGTCGACCCTCATTTTATCCCCGCATACAACCCGTGGGAGCAACGGCCTAATGTCTGTTTTGGATGGGATATGTTCCGAGCCTTGAAAGGTGGACGAGCGGTGATAGAGACAGGTCACATTGCCAATGTCGACCGACATGGCCTGAAATTTCAGTCTGGGAAGTTTCTTCCAGGAGACATCATTGTGACTGCTACGGGGCTAAAGCTTCAATTCGCAGGCGGGGTAAAGGTTCTTGTGGATGGGACCGAGATCGATCTTGGGGGAAGGCTTGCTTGGAATGGCGCCATGATTCAAGATATTCCAAATCTGGGCTTTGTCACCGGGTATGCGCATACCTCGTGGACGTTGGGGGTAGACGTGCGAGCGCAACTAATCTGTCGCGTGATTCGGGAGATGGAGAAAAGCGGTGCGCCGGCTATGGTACCTCGCTTCAAAGGGAACGTGCAGGCTATTGCCCAACGGCCTGTTTTTCTGAAGTCATCGTATATCTTGTCTCAAGAACATTGTCTCCCAAGGATGGGCCGCGATGGGCCTTGGAAGGCAAGGAACACTTATCTGACCGACTATCTCTTTGCAAGATACAGTCGAAGAGTCCTTGAAGGACTCGACTGTATATGAAGTAGTAAACTCGGATTGCATGGATTGTCAGAATAAAGCTGCAAGTTATGTTGAGGCTCAGTGAAAGAGGTTAACGAAGCCAGCGTACCTACTAAATGCTTAGTAGTCCATCTGGTAAGGTAGATATTGGCTATTCCCTAAGTAGGTAGGTGGTCATGTGCCGCCCCTCGTCTCCTTCCCCTCGTAGTTGAACCCACCACAGACATCACATCTCAATGATAACAACAGTCCATACTCTCACTACCTACTACTTTCACTCTCCATCCTTCGCTACTTGCTTTCTTTCTCGACAGCATCTGTGTCTTTACTCAACACAGCATACCTCTCTTTGAGTGTGGCCACGCACACGCGACTGAGCCCACCAACGGTGCCCGCCTTCGAGATCTCAGTCAGACTGATCTCCATTCCGAGTTGCCTGCGAAACCAATTCCGGATTTCGATCGACATCAACGAGTCAATCGGAATAGTCGCCATATCTTCGTTCTCTCTTGCATCGCGAGACATATGAGCGTTAATCAAAGTGCACAGCTCCGACATAATGCGTAATTCCGTGGCGGGATCATCTAGCAGATCTGGGTTGCTCTGAATCTCGGAGAAAAACCCTTTTAGGTCCATCTTGTCCGTTTCCAGATCTCGTGCTGCTTGCCCCTGCAGGTTCTCAAAGGTGGAAAACCTGATATCTGGGCCCCACAAGGGTGTCACGCCTGGCGCCGAGAGGGGCTTCACGTTGCTCACTCCGACCATCATCACACTTGAGATCATCTCTGCGGGATCGGGTGGCGATCTGCAGGATAGAATGGCTGCATGGAGTGCATTCACAACATGTTCCTCACGGATGAGACGCGCTGCTGTCGACCTGGCACGGGTCAACGTGGCTTGGTGGTTCTGATGCATGCATCCGATATCCTCCACGAGACCCAAGTCTAGCACCGACGCGACGCGGCCTAGCTGGCGACGATACAGTACGAAAGCATCCAGGAAGGCGTTAGCCGCTGCATAATTTGATTGGCCTACTGTGCCAACCACACCCGCCAGCGAACTGAACAAGACAAAAAAGTCGAGGCTTGATTCGTGTGCCTCAAGTGCCCAATGCAGATTGTAGGTGCCATCGACCTTGGGTCTAAGGGTTTGCAACCACTGGTTATGCGTCATCTTAGCCAAGCTTACATCCTATATCGCTGCATTAGCTGGGATGCGATGTGGGGGGTAGGGGCGAGTCAGGGTCACAGAATCGGGCTCTGGAAGCATACCTGAAGCACCATGGACAGCTGAATCGCTCCTCCAATTGCCCGCCCGGCGGCCTTGGAAACAGCTACCTTGACATCCTGCAGCCGCGCCACGTCTCCGGAAACCATCTCAACCCTACAGCCCTGTCGCTCTAGTTCACGAGCAAAATGCTCATGATCCACCCGCTGACCAGCCGACCGTGAGAGAAAAATCAGGTGTCGGGCTCCATTCTCGACGAGCCAATTCGCCACGGCGCGCCCAAGGCCACCCAGACCACCAGCGAGCAAGTACGATTTGTTTTTCGATAGAGTGAGAGGAATTTTAGCTGGACTTGTGGACAACCCGTCTCCAACTGTCGGCATTTTGATCACGATCTTGCCCATGTGCTTTCCACTTTGCATATACTTGAAAGCCTCAGCTACCTCGCTGGCTGCGAAAAGTCGAATTGGTCGGATCGGTTGTACTTTATTGCCCTCGTACCACGCGACGAATTGCTCCATCAACCTAAACATCCCAGATTAGTCAATCAGCTATCTTAGCTTTGCAACGACTCTTACCGCTGTGACACCCTAGGCTGTTCGGCCATGATGCTCAACATGTCGACACCAAAGAAGGACCTATTGCCGTTGAAAAGATCCATGCTCAAGCTTCCACGGGCAAGAAAGTCTCGCTTTCCTAGCTCAACCATTTTGCCAAATTTGGCAACACACTGCCATGATGCATGCAGCAGGCTTCCGGCCAGTGAGTTCAAAACCAAATCTACCCCTGCTCCAGCTGTTTTGCTCATGACACCCTGACGAAATGAATCGTCTCGAGAGGTGAAAATGTTCTCTACGGGGATCCCATACTTGGTATGCAGATAATCACGTTTTTCAGGCAATCCTGCAGTGGCATAGATCTATCAAGAATGTTAGCCAGAGACCACAGGTGTCGGAAGTCAAATCGGGGTCTATACGGTTGCGCCGATTTCCTGGCATATGTGGATGGCAGCCAAGCCCACACCCCCCGTTGCACAATGAATGAGAACAGTCTTTCGGAAATGTCAGCCTGTTCTACCGCAAAGTTTTCAAAGCTCAAAACCGAATCTCTCCTTACCTGGCCTGGCTGTATTTGACCGACGGTGATCAAGGCATAGAACGCTGTCGCGTATACTGCTGAAACCGCCGCCGCGTCTTCTAAAGACAGCCCTGGAGGAATCTTGGTACATTCGTGCTCCCGAAAGTGCGCTCGTGTTCGGAACAGACCCTTCCCACAGACCACAACCCGGTCTCCAGCTTCGAACCGCGTGACCTTGTCACCGACTCTACGCACAGTAGCACTTGCTTCAATCCCAAGCTCACTTGCGTCGCCCATAACTCCCAGAGCAACCATGAGATCCTGACTCCGTGTGCGGTTAGCATTCCAAAGGCTTCAAGCTATGCAGTTACCACCTACCCGGAAGTTCAGGCCAACGTAATGGACATCTATTTCAACCTCTGTGGAGTCGAGCAAAGGCGTTGCGTCTGGAACGGTTTGCCAATTAAGGCTATCAATAAGCCCATACCGTTTGATAGACAAGCAGCGTCCTGACTCCACCTTAGGCTCTTCTTCTAATTGACCTCTGAGCGTGTGCCAGTGGACTCGGCTAGTATAGACCTGACCGTTTCTTACGACATATTCATCGTCTATCAGAGTATCCTTCGGGACCATCTGTCGTGTTCGGTGATATATGTCCACGACCGCTCCACACGTCCCGTCATTCAGTGCATCAAGCTCAATTGTGACGATCTTTCCGACTATCTCCCTTCGCAAAGTTCGAGAAAACCCCAAGGCCAGACCCAACCTAGGATCCTGACAGGTGGTCTGTACACTGCGCGTTAGATAAATAAGCGGCACATTGGAACTCATTGAGAATAGATTCTTCAACTCCTCAAATTGCGGCTCGCTCATGTCATGCATCACAGGCGCATGCAAGTCGAGGAGAGAGATGAGACATTCTGTGTTCGCGGGCAGTGACTGCAGTGTAGCCCACTCTACACGGTAACCCTGTTTCAGAAGCGTTTCTTCCAGCCTTTTCTCCCATGGAATACTACTTTCGACGCTGACTGAGAGGAATGTGACCTTCTGTGCCGGCAGATACTCAGCGGGCCGACGGGAGATTATGTTGGCATTCTGCTGGAATGGAGGCTTGTTGTCTAGCGTCACACACATTGCTCCCGTGAACCCCGCTTGCAGAAGCTCAGTGTGCCATCGCTCCGGCTTGACGTACGGAGCCTGGAGCCTTCCGTCGCTTTCACCATTCCACCAGTCAGGTAACATGCCCTGGTGATGCTGTTAGCGGAAATGGACCAGAAGAAATACGCGCGGGCATGTGACTTACCATGACGAAATCTGTAAACAGAATGTCTGAGATTGTCAGATCTGAAAGAGTCTCAAGTAACCGCGAGATGGCACAGACTTCACTCACCGGGGCAGAGCTCTTGGAGTACGAGGAATCCTCCGGGAGCTATGAGCTTATAGACATTTTGCAATGCAACGCGCAGCGAAGGTGTGGCATGGATGACCTTTCACAACGTTATTAGCAAAGCTGAACTATGCTACCGTGCCGGTATCTGAATCAGGTGAGAAGCGACGGCGGGTCTTACATTAGAGATAATGATCAGGTCGTATGAAGCCGAGGTAAATCCCTGCTGAAGAGGGTCCTGAGTGATATCGAGTGTCTGGAACACGATGTTCTCGTGCTCGTTGAACCTTTCTGCTGCAGCTGAGAAAAAGGCCGGTGATATGTCAGTGAAGGTGTAACTGGCCCAGGCTCTCTCCCCGCCTTTCGACCGCAGCGAACTGATCACCTGTTCGCAGGTGGCCCCTGTGCCAGCGCCGATCTCGAGAACCCTGACCCGAGGGTTCCAGTGGCCGACCAGAGACAAGAATGGCCTCCAGTCCGAGAGCGAGCTGTTGAAGTCATACATATCTCGCAACATTTGCATGGATAAAACCTCCAGTGGAGTGACGTGGCCCTGTAAAACTTGGCTTGCATTCTCAGATACTCTCCTCAAGACTTCTACTAGTCTGTCAACACCTCGTCCTTGCAGCGCGAGTTGCTCTTGAATTTTGGCGGCTCGACCGTGTCTCTCATCAATGGTAATGTCTTGCCACGGAATCTGGAGAAATTTCTGGGTGGTTCTATTAACGAGCTGATCGTGCATGGTCATCAGCCATGACTGGTATTTTGCCAGATGTGTGGCCGCGGGTACCAAGTCTGCGATCTGGGATGTGGTCTCTAAAATGTAGAAACATGTGAGTTCTGCCATTAGCGACACACCCCTTTCCTCGGTCTTGGTAGGCAGCCATTCTGCCGGCGAGATGAGGTCAAGGCATGGCGCCCATTCCACCTGGGACATGAGAGGGATTGGGCTCTCATTATCTGGCTCATCATTGGCGAGGGAAATACAAGTCGCTCCAGTGATCACCAGTGCTGGTCCCGCCTTGCTAAACATAGTGACATTTCCGGACATGCTGGTCGATGACAGTGAGCTACATGTGTCAGTTTGGATCCACATATCCCCTTCAGTCCGCACGATGCTGATCCGGTCGATGGAGGCCGGGATGGCCAAAGAGGTGGCATGTCTCCGAATTCCATTGACCACAGCAACTGACAATAGTTGAAGGCAGTGATCGATTACCGTTGGATGTACCAGGTAATCGCCTTCATAGTCGCTACTGCTCTCGAGCACAGTTGCATTCGCCAGATGCTCCACCGGGTCGACCGATATCTCCTTCATTCGCTGGAAGCTCGTCCCATAATTCAGCCCCAGGCGAGCCAGGAACTGATACCAATCCGCGGGCTCCACTCCCCGCGTCCAGCGGGGCTGTTTGCTGACTTTCGGCATTGATATCGGAGAAATAGCCCGTATTTGACCATGGCAGTACTTGCCCCACTCAGTTCCATCCAAGGCAAGAACAGTAAATTCAAACCACTCGGAGTCAGCAATATCGCTCAATCTTTCGGGCTTCAGAGACGTGAGGACCTCGGTGCCGCTTGTTTCCTGGAGGAACAGTGGCTTCTTGAGGATCATGTTGCGGATCTCATATCCCTCACAGTGACAATGCTGTCGAATGGCTTCCCCGATCATCGCTACATATCCGGCGCAAGGGAAAACAGTATCTCGGAATAATTTGTGATGGCCTAACCAGGTACAACTGTGGATTTGGAGCACATTCCTCCACGAAGGCTCCAGAGGACTTGACTCGAGTACCCTGGATCCGAGAAGCTCATGATGCGGAAATTCCCGCAGTCGCCAGCTCTCACTCAGCCGACTCTCGCTCCAGTGCCGCTCGGTATGTTGCCATGGGTACCGTGGCAGGCAGTAAACAACCTTTCCGGGGCCGTTGATGCGCAAAAGGTCGATTTCAGCCCCTCGGCTATACGCAAGTCCAGCTGCACGAAGCAGGGCATCCTCTGCACTATAATCCCGTATTAACGTTGGGATGTACCAATTCTTTCCCTGGGTTTCAACTGAGTCGAAAATCTGACGCAGTGGCCCCTGCAGGGCACTATGAGGCCCGACCTCTATGAAAAGCCGATTGTGATTGGGCTTGGACCGGAGCATATTCTTGACCGCCTTGTCGAACTCGACAGTGGAGATCAGGTTACGGCTCCAGTACTCACTATCTAGCCTAGCGGGATCATGAATTACCTCACCGAGCACAGTAGAATGCATGGGTAGCATATGTGTAGATACTGTCTCAGTTTCAGGTGCAATAGCCGCGGCATAGTCCGAGGCCATGGGCAGCATCTTTTCTGCTCGGTGAGTCAGTCAACGCCCGTTGCAAAAATCCCTGTCATTGGAGGGAGTACGTACGAGAGTGATAGGCCTTGGTGACCTTCAGTATCCGGCAGAATGCGTCTGGGTATGCGGTACGAATTGCGTCAATGGTCGAATGAACCGCTTTTGTGTCTCCTGAGATTGTGATACTTTGGGGACTGTTCTCGCAGGCTATCACAGCTCCTTCTGCCAACCAAGGCTCGACTTCCTTGCGCGCGAGACCAACTGCAGCCATAGATCCATCGCTTACACTTTGGGCCAGTCTTCCACGATGATAAGCAATCATTATTGCGCTGCGAAGCGAAATGGCCCCGGCCGCGTAGGCTGCGGCGATCTCTCCGCTGGAATGTCCTATCACACTGGAAACTTTGAATCCCCAATTTCTGAGCCGGTTGGCTATTGCGATTTGTATTGCCGTGCAAACAGGCTGAGAAAAACGTGTATCATGAATCTGTGATTGCGCCTCAGGTGCTAGCAAGGTCTCTACAAGGGCCTGAGTTATAGTCTTTTCTTGGTTACTTCGCGGTTGGAGTACATACCTGCTATCGACCAGGACGGAGCAGGCTTAGCAGACCGCAACACGTCATCCATGTGCTGAACGTCAATTTGGAAGTCTTTGCAATTCTCGAGCAACTCGCGAGCCATTCCCGGCCATTGTGCACCTTGGCCTGTGAACACTAGGGTGACTTCGGGAGACGATGAAGCTTCCAAAGGCGATTCTTGCAAGCCAACATCAGTGTCGGAGGAGACAATCGAGAATGTGCGGTACTTCAGATGCTCTCTTCTTACCCCAAGGGTGTGGGCAACATCATTTAGATCCTGGCCTTTGTTCGTCATAAACCTCTCCAAGCTTTGGGCGCGTTCAGAGAGAGCTTGTGCACTAGCTGCGGACAGTACCAGCAACTTCTTTGTCGTTTTGTGGGGAGACTGGACAACTGAATCCTGTGTCTCTCGATATGGTGTGGGAGCTGGCTCGAGAATAGCCTGTGATGATGATCAACATGGCATACTGCGGAGTTAGGTCGGGCGTGGGGACAAACATGCGCATTGGCGCCACCGATACCAAAGCAGTTGACACTGGCCCGAAGTTCTTTATACGCTGGCCATGGCATAGCATCGACTGGTACGACTAGCTTGCACTTCTCGAAGGGTACTGCAAGATATATGTTAGCGACAATCAAAGACTATGTCCAAACGTGACGCCTACTACTCGGACTGGGGGATCTGAAGAAGATATTCGGCGGGATGGTGCGATGTTCAAGCGCCAGAGCAGTCTTGATTATGCTCGTAATCCCCGATGCACCCTCTGAGTGGCCCATATTGGGTTTCACCTATTCCATAATTAGACCGATGGGCCCGTGTGGTTCATTCCATCCCTCAACTAGACAGCACTCACCGAACCGATAATGACGCCAGATTCGCGGAACAGGTCCCCAACCACCGATGTCTCCGCAGTATCTCCAGCGACGGTGCCCGTGCCATGGCACTCAAAGAAACCTGTATCGGTGATATTCTGGATTTGTGCGCGCTTGTAAGCCTCCCTAACAAGCGCCATCTGCGTGACTGAGCCGGGGGTAGTGATGCCTGGAGTTCGTCCATCGCAGTTGGTCGCTGTAGCGCGGATGACCGCGCGGATAGGGTCTCCATCGCGGACGGCATCAGCAAGACGCTTAATATACAGTGCATTCACTCCCTCGGCTCGGCCGTAGCCATCTGCTCCAGCGTCAAAGGTACGGCAAATGCCGCTGGGCGATAACACCATGTTGTCTGACATCGTTGTGGTCATGGTCGGAGTCAGAATAAGGTTCGTGCCAGCCACAATCGCGGACTCGCAGTCTCCAGATAATATCGCCTGGCAGGCTTCATGCAGCCCCACCATGGAAGACGAACATCCCGTAGATAATGTCATACTGAAGGAAAAGCCGGTCAGCCGGCAATGACCAAGAGGACTTCCAAGAGAGAAGCAATCTGAACCTACCTCGGTCCTGTGAGATCAAACTCATAGGAGATGCGGTTGGAGAGTGCAAAATTTCCCGTTCCAAGAACATGTAGTCGGTCAATCCTCTGCGTGTCTTTGGACTGCAGGTCGTACCAATCCTCGCCGAATACGCCGACAAAGCAGCCAATGTTCCGCCCGCGGCCACGCCACCCCACTTGCCCACCAGATTCCATACACTCATAGATGACTTCGAGCAGGAGACGCTGTTGAGGGTCCAAGCGAGAGGCTTCAAACGGGGTCAGCGAGAAGAACTGGTGGTCGAAATAGGCTGGATCTTCAGGGAGAAAGTATCCATTCTTCGTCCGCACCGCGCCCGTCCGCGAGGGATGGTGGAAAGCATCGATGTTGTACCGGGATCCAGGTACCTGCCCGTGACCATTTTGCTTGTTGAGGAGGAATTCCCAGAAATGCTCCGGCGTGTTGACGCCCCCTGGAAGCCGCAGGGCAATGCCTACGATAGCCAGCGGCTCAGGGCCGGAATGAAAGTCGTGACACATGGTTCCTGAAGCCATCTCGTATACGTTCGAGTGAGCTGTAATATACGGGATGATTTGTTTTAACAAAGCTCGCGTCGAGCTTTGTATGTATGAAGGAGAATTGCATGTTTTTATTGTCTGCGATTAACAAGAAATTGAGCAGTCGACTATTTGAGGATTCCTAGCTCGATTGGGACAAAATGTGATCGGTCTTTCGCCGGAAGCCCTTCATGCGAGAGCCTTCATGGCGCTCTGAAACTCGTTGCCAAGATTGGCCACTGGACCCGCAATATCATCATGGAACGCTTCGGGGATCTTCGCCCGCGCCGCTTCCTGGAAGGAGCTACGCTCGTTCTCGAACATCTGCATTATTGCGACTGCCATGAGCCTTACACCGCTCTTATCATACATCGATCCCTGCGAGGCGGGAAGGAAACAAGCAGTGTCAGTCAGCAAAAGGCGCATCCAATATGGGCGCAACCGCAGCGCGGGGAACAGGGGAGGGAACACATACCTTGCTGCCAGCCGCACCCAGCGTGTCTGCAACGGATTGCCTCATAGAATGGTAGGCGACTAAGATGTCTGGCACTTCATCGTCTTTGAAGGCTGGGGCGGAATCCCACTCTCCCCGAGCCGACTTGGTTTGGGCATAGACGTCCCAGACGGCACGGGCCAGTTCCCACGACGACATCCACCCACCATCGTAGCCGTTGAACACCGCTTGAGCCGAGTCAACACTTTGGCGAAGGTTATTCATGCCGGCAATCACCGTGGGGGCATCCTTTGCTGAGGCTGGATGCACGACAGCGCAGATCCAGGTGAGGAAGCAGAACCACCGAGCCGAGGCCGCAATGTACATGATGGCTGTCGTTCGGCTGTTCTGTGGGTGTGTTTTTGGAGTCGGTGAGCGTTCGGAGCTCAGGTCACAGGAGTCAGTTTGGTGGCGAAGACGCTTGAGTTTCGCTAGGCGCATGGGCTGCAGTGGCTTGGCCACCAATCATATTTATACCTGCAGCTTGTTTGCGGATGCCAGTATCAAGTAGGGGCTTGGGTGCTCTGCCGTGTCTACATTCATGTCTCTGACTTTAGATGTGTGCTCCCTTGCGTCAATGTGAGTCAGTTATTGGTTCATACACATCCTTTGTTTCGCTCCTTACTGCTCAGCCAGATCGAATTCTTCAGTCGATCATAACATTACCAATCAGAGCCCAGCGATAAGCCCAGCGATTGGTGCAAAGCGCGATTGGATCTGTCACCTATCGTGTAGCAGATGCCCGAAGCTTTGTCCCAATGGAGTGGTTTGACATGTCATAGTGCCTGCATGACTGTCCTAGCGAGTCGGTCGATCACACATTCCGCTTTCCGATTCGAAGTTCATTGGCTGACCAACAAAAGAAGCTTATGTTGGGGTTATTTGCCAGTGGAACATTCCCCAAGTATTCCTCCTTTCACTAATTGGGCCGATGCCTCTAGCTGCAATGCCCCTGAAAGGGGGGGGGACCCATGGTCCGCAATGCTCAGATAATTAGGTCTTGGCACAAACAATCAGACCAAGCGAATTTTCTCAAGGGAATGACTAATGATGTATCCACGCCAACTGAGAACTACCGTACCCCTCGTGAGTTGTCCACTGAAGCTCACGAACAATGGGTTCGCTACCCTTCCCCCCCCCTCCCTTTCTAGAACTTCCGGTATTACCCCCGCTTCGGTTTGCTTGTCGCGCGCGTTCCATGCACCCGATCCATGAGGCCGATCAAGCCGTAGTTGACCGTCAGCAGTTCATGGTGCAGATCATGGACCTCAGGCTTCCAGCCGTCGGGGGTCTCCCACAGGCGGTACCCGCTGTGCGCCAGGGCGGCCTTGAGGCCGACGGCGCCGATGAACGCCCACAGGGTCACGACGTGCACATCGAACAGGCGCGCGGGCCCCACGATGGGCAGGATGTTGGTGATGATGTGCTCGACCGGGTGGGCGTACAGGGTCGCCAGCGCGACGGGGGCGTGGAACCGGTGGTGCTGGCGGTGGAACCGCGCGTAGAAGAGCCGGTGGTGCAGCAGCCGGTGGCCGTAGTAGTAGGTGGTCTCGCGCGCCAGGATACACAGGACCAGGTCGACCAAGAACTCGCGGAGGGGGGGCAGGGTCGCCGGCACACGGTAGCCCAGCTCGGGCCGGCCGAGGACGATGTGGACCGCCGCCAGCTGCAGGGCGTGCAGCGTGGTGCTGAGCAGTTGATTCCCGAGGGAGCCAAGCAGGGCGTCGCGGATGATGAGCTTGCGAGGAGGCTGCTTGTGCGCCGGCTGGATCTTGTATTGTTGGATGGACGGCCAGGCGAGCAGGTCGAACACGGTGAATATGCCGGCCGGAAGCCAGAAGGTGAGGATTTGGGTCGTGAGCATGCCCACTAGCTCGATCCAGGGGGACGGGTGTTTGAGGACTAGAGTTCTCCAGTGCGTGGCGATGTCCATGGTCGCTGACGGCGTTCTTGGCTTTGGTAGAACGCCCTTCGAGAGGTTCGTGAGAAGACGCTGTATCGATTAGGAGGATCGGGGATGTTAGAAATAGAAGACCGTGCAATCCCCTCTGTACGGGTGACACGGTCCCAGGTCGAAAGTTTTGCTGTAGACGGAGTGATCCATGGGGTCACTGGGCACGGAGATAGAGCATTCCCCCCTGCATAAGGGCCTCACTCAATCAGGGGGCACATATGTGGATCTGAAACCGAGGGCCGAATGCCGGCGGGACTTGTCCCTTGTCTGGAGTTCCAGACATGACTCCTCAGCTGGGGGGCTTTGGTAAGACAGGGCGTCTGTCCTCCCACTCCCCTATTCCAGCTATTCACTCGCATTGTTAGTACTGCATCCCATCACTGACCTCGGGGTCTTCATACCATGGGTTCTCCTCACAAGACGTCTTGGAGGCAAGTGCATCTCCGCTACGCGGCAGCCAACCTAGGGCTGCCATTATACGTGGCCTACCATGCGCCCAGTATATCACTACGGTGGGAAACCTGCGTGTGGACGTTGATTTACGCCTTCATGACGGGGCTAAGTATCACCGCTGGTCCGTCCTTCATCCCACCTCGGAGAAACAGAACCATCTAACACTCAGCAACAAAAAATAGGATACCACCGCCTCTGGACCCATCAAGCGTACAAGGCCTGCCTCCCGCTCCGCATCGTCCTCGCCGCCCTCGGCGCCGGCGCCCTTCAGCTCCCCATCCGCGTCTGGGCCGCCGATCACCGCGCCCACCACCGCTTCACCGACACCGACCGCGACCCTTACAACGCCAAACGCGGTCTCTTCTACACTCACATCGGCTGGATCCTCACCTACAATAGTGACAGGTTTGGTCATCAGACTGAAGGGGTAGACCTGAGCGACCTCGACCGCGACCCCGTGGTAGTCTGGCAGCGGCGCACCTACTACCCGCTGGCGGGGCTGATGGGCTTCCTGCTGCCGGCTGCCGTGGCCGGCACCCTATGGGGCGACTGGCAAGGCGGGTTCCTGTACGCGGCGTGTCTGCGGGTGGTGCTCGTGTGGCATGTCTCGTATTGCATTAACTCGCTGGCCCACTGGATCGGGGAGCAGCCGCACTCGACACGTAACACCGCGCGGGACTCTGCGCTGCTGGCGGTGGTCACCCTCGGTGAGGGGTATCATAACTATCATCATGCGTTTCCTGGGGATTATCGGAATGGGGTTCGGCTCACGGATTTGGATGTTACCAAGTGGTGGATTTGGGCCTGGGAGCGCGTGGGCTTGGTTTGGGATGTGAGGAGGTGTACTGGGTGGAGGACGGGAGGTGGTGGCTTTTGGGAAAGGCGAGTAAGAGCTTGGTTTTGAGGGGAAAGGCCCACACAGGCCTGGGGGTGTGGTATGGTCATGGAGACAGGGCTGTGAGATTGAAGGGTGGAGGAGGGATGGAGGAGGGTGGTGTTGTTGTTGTTGTGTGCTTTCCTATTATATGTAGATGTAGATGTCGGGTAGTAAAAGTCCATCGAACGTATGTTAATAACATTTACGCCAGAGGTCAGTCTTGTCTTCCCAGAGAAGAGGTCCGACAAAGTTTTGAATCTAGGATACAGACAGAAAAGTGTGTGTACATTCTGCCATACGGCTTGAACAAAGGAGTGGTCTTGTGGTTTGCAGATCAAAAGATCGGCATCTTGAACGCATCGAGGTCGTACTTCCAGGTATCAAGGGAGTCCTGGTCATAGACGCATTGGAACTGAGTACCGTTGCTGGTCCAGTATGGACGGAGGGGCCAACCACAGATTTGCTGCTGAGCACCAGTAGACTGAACAGTCCCATTAAGTGTCTTCGGCTCGATTCCCTTCTCAACCCAGTCAATCAGGGTGGCCAAGGTAGTCTCCGGCCACGGAGCGTTGGGTTGAAGGCTATTTGAGCCGCAGTGAGCGCCGCCAGGAATGAGAAACAGACGGTACCAATCATTCAGTTCGGCAACACTCTGGTTGTAGGAGAGATCGGGGTACATGATGCTTCGGACCGACTCATAGTAACAAACTGAGCCAGCGGTTGGAACCTGGGGGTCTGACTCGCCGTGGTAGTGAAGAACTTTGCCCCCGGCGTTGTGCCAAACTGAAAGGTCAGGCCAGGTGGTCTCGAGGGAATCGTAGTATCTCTGGAAGCCAGTGGCAATCCAGTCACGGAAGGTATCCCTTGTCACGCCTTCAAAGCTAGAAAGAGCTGAAACGTTGGTCAACAGATTCAGCCCAATCTCAATCCACTGGGCGGACTGCTCAACGAAGTATGCACCATACTCTCCAGTGGTCTCGTTATAGGAAGTGACAGCATCCTGAAAAGAAGCTGTAGGTTGGTAGGACATGTAAATGCGTCGGCCAAGGTTGTCATGTGCACCATTGAGGATCTCCCGAGCGACAGCCACACCCTCTGCAGTCACGGTTCCATTTTGAGCTGGGATATAAGGCATGAAATTGGGGATCTCGGCCGATGAGCCACAGCTATAGGCTTCACCGATGGTCGAATTCAAGTTGAAATGCAGCTTGCACAAGTCCGTGCGAGCGACCACTCCATCTACCCGGCCGTCCAGATGATCACAGGCATCTGTGGTGAGAGTGACAATCTTCTCCAACTCACAATATGGCGGGTAGTAATTGAGCTGGTACTCGACAAATTGAGACCACAGATGCTGAATCTGCTGAAAGGAGAAGTGCATGCCTGGGGCTCCGATGACGGCACCGTCAAGATCAGCTCCGATCTGGACCTGGCTCCAGCCCTCGCGGCCTCCCTCCGAGCAACCATCGTAGTAAGACCAGAGCTTGGTGTCTGACATGTTGTAGAAGGACTTGGTGAATTCCTTGCCGATCCGACTAAGCTCATCGATGGCCTGGTACCCAAACATGTAGACAGTGTCCCAGTTGACCTCGCCGTCGCCATTCAACCAGACTTCCCAGGAGCTAACATCAAAGCCACCAAATCCACCGTCCGTGGTACCGGCCACCGCACCCATGTCGATTCCACTAGGGAGAGAGGAATTTTTCTCGGTAATGTTCCATCCTTCGCCGCCAGTCGATACGTAGCGGTTCTTGAAATCGGCGGGAGCTGGCATCCAATAATTGACGTTGGTTCGATCCAGTCCATCGTGGGTGTATGCAAAGTTGACATCGCAGACCGGGTAGTCAGCATCATCAATTGACGTGGTAAGCATTGCGGCTGTCACAGACGACTCATCGATATTGATACCGAGTAATGTACCATTGCCCGGTAGGCTTGCAGTCACATACTCAACAGTACATACACTCTGAAGAGTGGCAGCTTGAATTGTGACCACAAGGTAAGACAACTCCCACAGAAGTCGAGGCATTTTGTCCAGATGAACACTATGCCACATCAATTCCGAGCCGAAAGTGCAGGAGCTCAAGGTATGCACACAGACGGACAAACTATCCGACGCGCCCTGAAAGCTAACTGTTCGTCCTAATATTACTCATTAGGTGGGAATGGTTTTGACGGCGGTGATTAAATACCTGGCATGCGTAAATAATCAATCTACGGATGCATACTCCCGCGAATACCGATCTGCATTGATTCAGGCTTGATACACCCCACTCGATCTAATCAAAACATCACTGTCGTCGGATTACGTACAAGGTGAATCCTACTCTAGTCTGGTATTCCCAGCTTATTATGGGCAAGAAAAGGGTCGACCATCGCCCACACCAGGTAGCCTCGGGACTCTGTTTGGAGATGAAGGCCGGGGCCGAATCTTTTAGGTGCACGTACTGTTGGTTATTGTATACAGTACTGGTCCACCGGTGTTCCAACCTTGGAAACCCCCCAAAGGTTCTGTGTATTTGTCTGCTGACTTAGTCCCCTCGTTTCATGCTCTTTCAAATATCACCAATTATATGCAGCTCGCAAGGTCCCCCCTAATCTGGTCTAGCCTCATCTCAACCCCAGATAGAAATGATCTACCATACAAGTGGGGTGAAGGCACTTTGAATAGAATCTCCAGTGCGGTACTTCATATCTCCGATCCCATAGTAACGACGTTTGCCAACCCACAAAGCGCTCAGGTGGGTTGCCAGCGTAAGACATGGCCGCGTAGGCACTTCTGCGTAGACGGGGTGTACATCCCGTTCTAGTTTCTCAAGTTGTCATGGACATCAGCCTTCAAGGTTAAGACTTGAACTTGGGCTGAACCGGCCTCAATTATACTCAGATAGCACGGTTTCCTCTTATGGCGCGCCGCACGTTCTTGTGAACTCGAACCCAGTGCCCTGAATGAGTATATAGCAACCTCATCCGTGTCTAAACAATCCATGTCCGGGTTAAAACATTCTTGATTGTTATATCCGGACATCTATTAGTCCATCCATTCTTTCTCTTTCCCACTAATTCTATTCATATTCATTTTTTCTCCATCTTTCTGTCTCTTGTCTTTCCTTTCGATTAGACCGGCAATGCGTTGGTCTTCAATTTCAGCAGCTCTACTGCTTGCTGCAAGCACCTTCAGTGGACGATGCCTCTGTGCCTCAGCTTCCTCAACCGCCTGTGCTGGAAACACGCCAGCGACCCGTGACCAATGGTGTGACTTCAATATTCAAAGTGACTACTACACGGAGGCCCCGGACACCGGCATTCTCCGAGAGTACTGGTTGGTTCTTGGCAACACCACGGCTGCTCCTGATGGCGTCCCTCGCAATGTGTTGACCGTTAACGGCACATCGCCGGGACCTACCCTGCACGCTAACTGGGGAGACTGGGTTCGTATCCATGTTTACAATGGACTGGAGAACAACGGTACCAGTATACACTGGCACGGTATTCGTCAGAACCATACCAATCCCCAGGATGGCACCAATTCCATCACACAGTGCCCTGTGCCTCCCGGTGGTTCTATCACCTATGAATGGCGGGCCACTCAATACGGCACTACCTACTACCACTCTCACTTTGCTTTGCAGGCATGGGAGGGTATCTATGGTGGAATCGTCATCAATGGCCCTGCGAGTGCAAATTATGATGTGGATGCTGGTATTCTTTATCTCAGTGACTGGTCCCATCGCACCTCCGACGCTCTATACTCCACCGCAGAGACCGATGGAGAGCCAACCTTAGCAACCGGACTGATAAACGCCACCAACATCTGGGTCACAGAGAATAACCAGACCACTGGCTCTCGCTTCAACATGAACGTGACGTCCGGTCAAAGCTACCGCCTTCGTCTGCTTAATGGGGGAATGAGCAATCCTTTCCGGTTCATGATCGATGACCACACTCTCACTGTCATTTCTACCGACTTTGTTCCCATTGAGCCCTTTAACACGACTTCGCTCCTAATTGGAGTTGGTAGGTTTAAACCCCGAATAAAATCCCAGCATGCCATATGAAACAGAGCAAGGGTTCACTCAAAGCTAATTCGCATTCCAAGGACAACGATACGATGTTATTGTCCACGCAAACAAAGAAAAGCAGGGCTCTAACTTCTGGATGCGCTCGATTCCTCAAGAATCTTGCGCTGAAATCTCCAACTACGATATTCGAGGTATTTTCCACTATGAAACGCAGGATAGCAAGCTTGAAACTCCAACCACAACTGCATTCGATTACACCGATAGTTGTGAGGATGAGTCCATGTCCAATCTTGTTCCAGTGGTTGCCATTGATGCCGCAGGAGTGGGTTTCAGTAGCCACAACGAGGTCCAGGTTATCAAGAACACCGCCGGCCTATATAAGTGGTATATGGGCCCGACAACCTTCATGGCTGAGTGGGACAACCCTACTCTGCTACAGATAGAGAATGGAACCACTTCTTGGACCAATGCCTCCCATGTCGTTCAGGTTGAAGGCAATGGAAAATGGGTGGTTATCGACATCGAAATGACCATCAATGTCCCTCATCCCATCCATCTCCACGTTCGTGTTCTCCCCTGCCTTTCTCAATCGGTACTTGGACTAACAGCAATGACCCAAGGGTCATGACTTCTTCATTCTCGCCCAGGACACAGGAAGCTACACGTCGAATACCACCTTGAACACCGTCAACCCACCCCGTCGTGATACCGCTATCCTTCCCGCTCTCGGATACCTGGTTATCGCATTCAAGACCGACAACCCCGGCGCTTGGCTTTTGCACTGCCATATCGGATGGCACCAGTCTGAAGGTTTCGCTATGCAGTTTGTGGAGAGCATTGATCAGTTGAAGCCTATGATTGACGGCGAATCTCTCGAGAAGAACTGTGCCGCTTGGGAGAAATATGCAGCTCAGAAGGATATTGTTGAAGACGACTCGGGTATCTAACCGAGGAGGGTTCCCAATCTAGGCTAGGAGTGCGTTCGTTGCCATGAGCAAAGCCAATCCATGCCAGTGGCAGAAATCGGACACACCGCTTGACCGTCTTTGCACATGTATGATGTAAATGTTTTATCTCCCTTCAATGCTGGACTTGACCCAATTCTGCCTAAGGATGGAGATAGTGTTAATGTCAGCGTGGCATCCTGGTAGAATGTGGATTCTTTTTTCTATCGCTGGACGATACACTCTCAATCCACGGTGCATGTTCTGACTCCAAGGGCTGTATATATATGTGCTCACACTAGTAACTCACTGCATATTTCTTGCCAGAGCTTTGATTCTCTTTGTCGAGGAAATTCAATTACCTAGGACCCTACAAGCATGTCTTGGCCTACGGTAAGTGGTATGCATCTTCGATGGGATAATCCCAGAGGCAGGATCTCTCAGCTCGCCTGGTCTGCATAAAGGAAGTGATAAAACAATAACGGTCGTTGTCATTGGAACTGACTCAAGTCTAGCTAGTTTGATTCGAAATCTAGACAACAATTACTCGAGAATCGAGCAGTCATATAGAACACCGAGGGGCGCGATATAATCGGTATGATTATAACCCAAATTCAGAGACATGATCTGACCGACAGTCACATTGTACGCCGTCGCAAAGTCCTGGAGGGTACCATAGGTGAAGGTGAAATCCGTCATGGTACAAGCTGTGTTGGCGCAAGTGGGGATCTTCACCGTCTCTCCGGTCTGGAGCACGTCATAAATCCCGGGGTTCAGGGCCGCAATGTACCCTGTTTGAGCGCTAAAGCTGAGAATGGACTCAGTAGTGATATTGAAGCGTTCGTTGGCAATCTTTTGGATGGTGTCTCCCGGAAGAATAGTGTACACGTGAGGACCGCCGTAGATACAGTCTGATATCGCGTTGGTGTTGTTCGTACTGAAACAAGAGTAGTCGTCTGGGAATGTGGCACGGGCCGGAATGCGCAAAGTCTCGTTCACATAGAGGAAGTTCGGGTCGGCGAGCACATTGAGTCGTGCCAGGTCACAGGCACCAACACCGTATTCGTCGGCAATTGTGTGGATCGTGTCGTTGGCAGTGACGTTATAGGTGATATTGCTAGCAGTGACAGCGAGGTTCAAGACAGTTCCGGAGCTCGGAATGACTGGGTTGCCTAATCAGCCGGGGATGTCATTTTAGAAAGAGACATCAATAATGAAAAACCGCACCGTCATAGTTCATAGAAGTTAGGGCAGAGGCTTGGGCTAAAAGCATAGGCGCCAGATTCATTAGGCTTCTCATAATTAGACACATGATGTCTGCTATTTCGGGGGTTTCTTTGATGTGTAAGAAAACTTTTGTGCTGGTTGTCTACTTAACTTCATTGTTGGCTGTTCCTTGGACGTATTTATACGATCTTCGATGACAGTCGGACAAGTATCTCGGACTTGATATCTACATTAGGCTATCGAATTAGTTGATTAGCAGTAGTAGTATAGAGTACACCATTCACCAGAACTCAACTAATTGTGGCGTTCTTGGCCACCAAAACTTAGTAGCGAAGCGCTATCTGTTTTGTACAAGCTCAATGTTACCATACCCCGCTCATCCCACTTTACCCCCACACTCCCACTGCCCACATCCGGCATTGACGTTTGAATTTAGGTTCTACCATTTGCTCCTTGACGGAATGGAAGAGATAATGAAAGCCATTCCTCCGGGCGAGCCTACCAAAATGGAACATCACCGAGGTCACTAAAGCTATCTCCAATAAAAGCCAGAGGTATTTTCAAAATGTTGCCTCCCCGCGCACTTTATCCCACCCAACAGGGCTAAGCCTTGACTCAACCTGCCATATTGCTGTAGCTGATGGTGCCAATCTACAGTCAGGCCTATCTACCCGCAGCCTCTCGGATTGTGTGACTACAACAAGATAGAGAATGTGGGGAATGCGTGGAGGTGTGTGCGGAGCTATTATAGCCGGGTGGTCTGAACTATCTACGAAGATGGGACCATCAACCACCGGCCACTGACCACCCCTGGGCCCTTGCTTCGGCGATTAATGATGCCTTCATAAGCATTGAAGAGGGGAACGTACTGTAGTGTAGTCAACATGCACGGATTGACACTAGCCACAAGACAATGCTAGTTAGAGCAACCCTCTGGGTGTATGGCTCGAGAGGTAGAGAAGTGTGTATCCTAAGCTCAGCAGTTTATACGGCCGCTATGATTAAATGAAAAGCGATTATTTTGCTGAGAATACAGAAGTTCGGTTTGATTGATCAATATACTCATTTTACAGTGTTCTAATATTTGCTTTAACAATGGCTCAGAGCTCCGTCCACTCTTCACATATTTGGCATCACGCGGGCCCTCTAGCTAAAGTTTGGTTTTTCTAGTATAAAATAAGCCGAACTGGATCTATCCTACAGAATATTTGTCCTCAATCAGGCGAGCTTTTTCTCTAGGATTAACAACCTAAAAATCCGTAGCTGCCAAAGAAGACCGGTAGGAAAGTAAGAGATGAAAATTCAACTCCGAAAGTACTATACACGCGTTGAACTTCAAAAGCGAAGGCATCAATGGTTGCTGCTCATCTACCTTATGAAACTAAGGCTAGGCTTTCCGGGATATATCTGACTCCTGCAGGGGTACGAGAATCAGCTCTCATTTCCTATCTTATTAGATACATATGTTGAGAGTAGGCCTACACAAGAAATAGATAAGTGGAGTAGAGTTCAAAGATTGAGACAAGGTCCTATGATGAAAGTCTCGAAATTGTGTTCCTAAGGGAGTTTTGGGATCGATATCATACTTCATGGATTGCACAAGCGGAGACACTGATCCTCTGCTAATCCCAGAACAGCAAGTGCCCTTCTCATCATCCGTGATAGGACTAGCTCCTCCACCTTTCACGTGACGTACTCCAAGCCAAACCGAACAAACACCGGATAAGCCTGCCGGATACGGATACGGGATATGACGGAGTTCGTCCGGTCTCTCCTCCTTCCCCACCATCAATCAAACTCCCGCTCCATTCATTCCTTCTGCAGTTGCACTAAATCCATACCCCTCAGAAACTGCACTGCAGACCAGAGGTTCCAAGCGAGCAAAAAGAAAAAATGGCCGACGCACCTCCCTTCTTTATCTACAAGCTCGTCCCCTCGACGGCGCCGGTGCGCGAACCCCTCCCGGACCGGCTCCCCGTCAGCGAGCTCGACAACCAATCCGGCTTCATCCACCTCTCCACCGCCTTCCAGGTCCCCAACACCCTCAAGCTCTTCTTCAAGGACGAACCCCTCGTGTATGTCCTGCGCATCCGCTACGATCAGGTCGAGCACGACATCAAGTGGGAGAATCCCGAGGGGACGGTGTGCGGGCCCCGGCCGACGGAGGGGTTGTTTCCTGTACGTGCTCTCTGCTTTCGTTGTACCCTCTATGTAATGAGTGGGGGATGAGGAAGGGGAATGACGATTGGCTAACATGGGACAAGCATCTGTATAACGGCCTCAAGCTGGGCAAGGATGAGGTCGAGAGTATATCGATCTGGACGAATGAGGATGGCTGGGATAAGGCGCTGACGCAGGCGAAGCCTTGGTTGTTGTATTGATTTCTTGGTTGATTGTTCTCTGGGTGTCGGCAACAGGCGGATGGGATGTAATTATCGTGATCTGCACGGTTGAAAGGGGCGGGGTGTAGGGACCAGGGGTCTTCGATGTAGGTAATTTACAGCGGGAAAGTGAGAGAGAGACAGGATTGTCCAGTACTTTTCCAGAGGTCTTGTTAATGCATAATGTTTTCACTTCGTCCGGTCTCATGGGATTGGCACTTGCTATAATACTTTGTTGTTGCAACCATTTGCGGGACGCACGCTTGGAGCACGGAAAATAGCAATTGATTTAACCCCCCAAAGAAAAAAAAGAAAAGAAAAGAAATCCAGACTTGGTGCCTATGTAGGACAGGGGAGTGCGTTGATGAAGCCGCGCGCGTAAATCTGCATGTGCATGTGCATGTAGGGCACGGCATGGTTCCGAATCATGCAGCAAGCGCCCACGGACTTTCTATATTTTATATTTAAGCTAAATAGAGATTACTTATTCGGTAGGAACCTTACTAAAGCGGTCGGATGTTACACGAATCTTCTCGAGAAAATATGCGATCTTTTAGAAACGAGTTTGCTGAACAAGAAACGTCATATACTAAGATCTATTGGTACAACCTGCTGGCAAGGTGGTGTCTCACAAGCCATCGAGTGTGCTTTAATATACCTGCGCCAGTTTGTACAGGGGCCAATCAAGCAAGAGTAACATACACCTATGATGCCATACAACAAAGATCGCCTGTACGTTGCCCTCTACGTCCGCGGAAGCAAGGCCACCATGCCTGGGAAGGAAGACACGTACGACCACAAACCCTTCACACAAGCAAGGCAGCTGACTTGAATAGTTATCATTGGGCCTTACACATCGGATTCAAAGGTCCCACCGAACCGAACCTAGGAGCCCGCTATCATGCCAAAGAGCGACTCACCGTGGAAGGCAAATCCGAGTTCATCTTCGAAGAAAGCGAGGTCTCGCCGCAGATGGTACTTGTGCGCATCGCGATTGCGAAGATCATGGATAAAGACCGTGCAGTCGAGCTTCTTCGCGGTACCGCCATCCGCCTGAATGCCCCAAGATGGAACTGAGTGACTTGGATCCAAGAAGCCCTGGATGCGCTGAATGCCGATTCGCGAGCACTGGGCACACGGATCCTCGACTGGGAGAGTGTTCGCGATGCGGCGATGGAGTATTGTCAGCGGAAGAAGGACCAGCATCGGTTTGATGGGAAGGGGGATTTCAATATGGGTGTTATTCCCACGTATGACCTGATGGTGGGGAGGGAGCTTGCTGTTTGAGTCTAGCAGGTATCCGAGAAGTATCACTCGGTAAGCATGTTCGCTTGCTAATGCTGTTGGGAAATGCTTAAGGATGATGCTGGACACAACCTGATGCTCACTGAAGATGGATCTCTGGACGATACTTTGTTTTTTCAGAAGGATTAAGTTCGCTTGATAGGATTCACCGCCATGTTTCGTATGCTTCTCAGAGAAGTGACGCCTGAGTTGGGGAGTACTCGCGTCTGTGTTAGAGGATGTCCGAGGCGGAACAAGACTGTGGCGTGCACACTTGTTAAGTATGTATCTCAGCGTTTTGAGACAAACTGACATTCTGGGTATAAGTCCATCCACGGATTGAGGTTCTTCAAGAGCGCGAAGTCTCACTGGAGTACCAATCCCAGTGCTAATGCCGTAAACCCTAGCATCTGTAGTTGCGACGCGGAAGACGCCTCGGGGCTAGCGCTTGTCCAGACTAGGTAACTCCGAACTGAATTCGCCGAGTGGTATAGAAAATACGAGTATGGCCGTACAACCAAGAAAATCCGTACTGGTGGTATTAAAATCATAAGTCCGTCTCAGTGCATGCGACCGATGTCAAGACTTGGGTTCATGCATACTCAAGCGCACACGGCAAACAAGCTGCACCAGAAACAGACATAACCTCAAAGAACCACTACCCTCGTACATCCTGGTCAAGGTGCTTCAACAATGGTAGTCGTGACGCTGTCATCTACGCTGCGCGAGCAGCATGTGGTAATCCTGGGTGGCGCATACGCGGGTCTCTCGACGGCCTTGAACCTACTTCGCATCTGTGATGGCACGATAACTTCCTTCGGGAAAGGCGGCAAGGGAGGAAGAGGAGGTCGCGGCGGCGGCAGTGAAGGTGGCCGGGGAGGAAGGCTCGGGGACAATGGCCGAAGACAGATGATGGCGCCTCAAGCCCCGCAACGCATGCCCAAAATTACCATCCTCGATCCAAGGGACGGGTTTTGTATGTCCCTCTCTACACAGTCAAGAAATGTAGCAGAAGCCCTGACAGCCGAGTCTCACAGATCACGCAGTCGGTACCCCCATGGCACACACAACAAAAAGCTACATCGAGCACCCGTGGCGGACCTGGGATCAAATCGCGGAGCTGAAAAGACCGTCGGTGTCGATTCTGAAGGGCACAGCGGTGCGAGCGGACCTGGAGACGAAAAGACTCCTCTATCTCTCGTCAGAGTCGAATGGGCAGCAGCAGCAGCATACGCTAGATTATGATTTCTTGGTGGTAGGCACGGGGTTGCGAAGGCCTTGGCCGACTGTGCCGGTTGCTACAACCAAGTCGGAGTATGCGATGCAGGCAGGGAGATATATTGACCGACTGCGGACATGCGATTCCGTGGTGGTTATCGGTGGAGGTGAGTTGACTCCTAGTAGGAAATTGACAGGGCTATGACTGATGAATCCAGGTGCCGTTGGAATTGAGATGGCAGCTGAGATCAAACACCGTTACCCCACGAAGCAAGTGACCTTGGTGCACTCGCGTTCGGCACTGCTCTCGTCCGAGCCGGTCCCATCAGAATTCCAAGATCAGGTTCTGCAGGTCGCTCAGCTCGGTGGAGTGAACGTAATGCTCAAGAATCGCGTGCTGGGTGTCACGGAAGGGCCTGGCAATGTGAAAACGATCAAGCTTGAGGATGGCAAACAGCTCACTGCCGATGAAGTGATTTGGGCAACGTCGTCAGCTGCGCCGGTTACCGAGTTCTTGCCTCGAGAGGCCCTCGACGAAAAAGGATTCGTCAACGTTCTTCCATCGTAGGTAATAACATTGTGCTGCTCGACGTTTTGGCATTGACCTGGGCACTATAGAACGCAATTCGCTGCGAACATTCCCAACTGCCAGACCCACTTTGCAGTTGGTGATGTGATCGCAACACCCGGAATTCGACTCGCCAAAACAGCCATCCGCATGGGACGTACAGCAGCCATGAACATTGCCCGTATGATGGTATCTGCCGAACAGGGTCACGGCTTGCAGCCAGTTCCGGCCGAGATGCGGGGCCCCAACAAGGGGTTGAGCTTGATACTTGGAGGCTCCGGCGCAGCTCTTGATGAAAAGACAGGAGATATCTTCTGCGGCCCGGAAGTCAAGAACGGAATCTTTGGTGATGACATGGCACTTCATCGTAAGTATAGCCTCCTTGATTGGGAAGGGCCAGGATGCTGATTTATTCGCAGGTGCTTTGGGTGCGCTTGGCTTGCCATTGAACCCATAGTTGCATGTCGCGGGAGACTTAATGTGATAAGTGAGCGGGCTACAATGGAGGCTATTTCCATAGTGAGAATGCATGTGTTTGCAGACCCGACGGAAATAGTCATGCTTGTATATAAATTATCCCAGGCTCTCTAGGACTTCAGCTTCTTACGTCTGTAGAGGGGTTTGACAGACACAGCCCAGGAAGGGAGACTTCCCGCCGGAACGAATGAGAGCATCATAATTCAATCTTCGGCCAAGCCGAATGAACAAAGTAGGCCATGATGATCGCTCCAGAAGGGTGCTTCTTCGGCAGGCTTGGTCTGTTGGAAGCTGGGCGTATCCCAGTCGCCAAATCGTCTTGGTTCTAGAACCTGGATTGTAGACGCCTTTAACCCCAGGGTCCCCACTCGATCAAGCCGGTTAGGCGGGTACGGTTGTTGCCCGTCAACTCCCCATGTGTAACCAGGCTCCTTGGACCGCAAAGATGCCCAGACATCAGTCAAGCCATTGAATTCAAGAAGCTCGTCGTCTTCGTCAAGAACGGGATTGAAATCACCGGCCACAAGCCCACGTCCCGCGGTGCGCAGAAGAGAGGCAACCATAGATATTTGTCGAGGCCGGTGGGAAGGCTTGATCGGCAAAGAATCCAGATGGACATTCACCAGCCGAATTCGTGTCGCAGAAGATGCTTCATCCTCTGGGGGTGAAGGCACAAAGATGTCACAGCAGAGCGCATCTCGACCGAAATAACTTGGGAACCGGACCCTCCATATTGGGCCGGCAACAAGGTTGTGGGTCTCCGGATTAGAAGGTGTTGCGAAGCGTGCTCTGGACAGTAGAGTCACTGTCATAAAGGGTCGATCATTCCACGAGAGATCATCACAATCGCTTGAAAGCCAGGACCCACGAATGCGCTCGTCTTCCAGAATCTGCTGCAGGGCCGGCCTCGAGACCTCTTGAAGAAAAACAATGTCTACGGGGGGGTCTAACCGGGTGAGATACGTGATAATATCGGTGGCGCGTTCCTGGGCTTGAGAAGAGCCCGCATCAATGTTCCATGTCAGTAACACAAGATTTGATGCGTCGCCCCCAAGGGTTGGCTCTGCATGGTCACTTGAATCGGCATCCGTTTGGGTGGGGATCCACTTTTGGGCAGGGTCGAACTGATACCAAGATTGAAATCTGGGATGCAGGTCCTCTCGATGGGGAAGCGGTGCCTCACGAGTCCAGGATAGTGTATTTGTCTGAGTGCGCGTGTTGAGATCCATAGAGAGACGACTGTGGTGGCTGATAGTATAGGTATGTACTGTGTACTGTACTGGTGTAGATGCTGCAGCAAGATGTGGAGGGGAAGAAGGAGAGATGGAGGAGTCTCAGGCAGGCAGGCTAGCCCAATCGAGAAGCCGTGCAGCCGGCCCGCTGTTGTTCCGACTTATGCTTGCCTTAGTGCCTTGGTGCCTTGGGGTCCGGGGGCTTGTGGCCTTGCTGCCTGAGAAACATTCCGTGCTTCCGACCCAAATCTCATTGTAGCGACCAACCATCGACTCTTCAACTGCTTCAGCTCATCACTTCTCCATTTGCAATAGTCTTCTTTACTGGTAACTATCTACTTTCTCTCCAAGGCTTGATTACCAAGTTCTGTGACCAATAGGATGTACCTTCTGATCCCACAACCTCATTCTTCACGTTCAGGGGCAAAGATTTGCTCGCTTAAACTAACCGCTTTTTAAAGCGGACTCGCCGTATTCTCGAAAGACCCGACGAACCAACGTGTCTGAACTCATCGAGATAATGCCTCCTTTCAGCCTCAGTGGAGCTTCGGCTTCTACGTATTTGCTCTTTTAGACGGAGCCAGACCCTTGAGCAAAAATTCCTTTATAATCGATGGAGATCCACTCACTAGCCTTCAATTGACTTTCTCTGTCCAGTCCATTCCCTCATTCCCCAGTGTTTGGTGACATTGTTGGCCTTCACAGGCAGTCACTCTTTTCGTACTCTCTCTGTGATTTGATCAGCCATGCGGTCCTTCTCTACTATTTCCGCTGCAGTGCTTTTGGTGCAGCCATTCCTTGCTGCGGCTGAGACCAAGGTGGTAACGGGGACTACCCAGTCATGCACATGGACTGATAACGCCTTGTCAAATCCTTCATTCGACTCCGGAGTCCTTACTCCCTGGGCTGTGTACGATGGATACGGCACTGCGTCGGTTGTCGCCGATGCCTCTGGCGACGGAGGCTATGTCGCGTAGGTAAAGCCTCTCTCGGCAATGGGCAACTACTAACGCATGAATGAACAGAGCAATGGTTCCCAGTTCATCCTCATACGCCGTACTATACCAGACCTTGACCGATCTGGTCGCCGGCGATACATACTCGTTGTCATTCGACTACAAGATCCAATCCGCGACAAGGGCAGGAACTTGCAATTTCTACTTTGCCATCGACGGCATTACCGCAACAAGCCGAATCACGACGACGGTCAATGGATATATTCAATACGGCACTACCGAGACCGACTGGCAGACTCTATCCACTACCTACGTGCCCACGGGCAGCAGCCTGGATATGTATATCCAGGTAATCTGCAGCTCCGGAATTCGCGGCATTGCAGCTCAGCCGACCATCTACGTCGACAACACGCAATTCTCCAATCCCAACAAAGAAATCGAGATCTGCACGGATGTACCCTATACCTCCACCATCACGCTTCTTTCCACCCCCACCGTGACACCCACGTCGACGCCTGTTGTAACTCCCTCGCAGGCCCTGACTTCCAGCGCTAGTGTGATTGCGGCAGTATCCTCCAGCGTCATCGCAAGCGCGATCTCTTCGCCCCAGCCGCCCGCTTCTTCGCAGGCATCATCCTCCATAGTGTCGCCATCATCTATCGTGTCGATTCCTGCCGCATCCACCCCTATCGTTGCATCGAGCCAAATCGTCTCTACATCCCAGACGCCTCAATTGTCTGCCTCTTCCAATCCACCGACGACTTCCCCCGCCGCACCTGCGTCCACATTCATTCACTCGAGTCCTGCTGTCGCACCATCCTCGTCTACTATTCTTTCAGTGCCAGGATCAGGTTTAATCACTCGTTCTGCAACCCCCAGCCCCAGTGCTGTCGCATCGCCTTCCAGTGTATTTGAGGACGTCGTGACGGTCACAACTACCGTCTACACCACGGAGCTGATCGTAGAGACCAACTGCCCTGTTCTGGACTACTGAGCCGGAAGCCTTTTCCTTATGCATTTTATTTCCAGGAGATCTAAGAACATTTAATATCAATCATTGTTCCGGAGCTCCCCACTCCAAATCCCTACGATAAGTTGTTATAGCCCGAACGATATCACTATATAAGGTCTCCGAAATTCTAGAACAGATCCGCAATCGGATTGAGTGGGGCAAATCAAGTAATAGAGACCCCAGGCCATCAATTTAACCTTTGGCTGAAGCACAAGCTAGTAGTTTCCCTTCGTCAAGCTACCACGTAACCACAGCAGCAAGATATCAAACGTATTTATGTCGACAGACCTATCCAACACTTCCCCGAAAGCACATTATCCAAAGTAATTAAGGCCACCTGTGCCCACATATAGATAGATACACAACACAAACCCGAGCAAAAACCACAGCACATTCCAACACCCGATCCAACCAAATTCCCTTTAAAGAGGACAATCGAAGTAACAAGCACAGTACCCCTTAGCATCGAAGACGGTATCATCCTTGCCGCAGACGCAGTTGGTGCTGTCGGCCTTGGACTGAATGTCCTGGCCGGCGTAGCGCACCTCGACCGAGGTGCAGCGGGTGAGGGTCTTGCTGGTGTCCTGGCCGCAGTACATGTCGACGGTGTAGGGCAACACGGAAGTGAAGGTCTGCCAGGAGTTGAAGCGCTGCGACATCTCGGAGATGATCTTGCCGTTGGGGTCGGTGACGAAGCCCGTGTGCGAGTGGTAGTTCTGGGTGCCAAGCGTCGGGCCCATGTACATCGAGGCGTCCTCGTTGGCGTAGCCGGCGATGCAGCGCTTGCCGTCGGGCTTGAGGGTGGTGATGGCGGTGGCGGTCGTGGCCAGGGCCGCGAGGAGGGTGGTGGCTGTGGTGAGGAAGTGCATCGTGGAAAACTGAATTCTTTGGGTGTGAGGTGTTTAGAAGGTGGGATTGGCTTGGTTTAGCTGGGGTTGAGGTGGGAGAGGAAGCTGGATGATGAGATGATTGACTTGAGTAGGGATTCGTCCGCTCTTTATACTTGCTAGATTCTCTCATGAGAGAGACATACAATGGTCGACCTTCCTTATTGAGTAGGAGACGTTCTGCTTCGGCGTGGAGATGTCTCATATTCCTGAATCCTGATATGGAGACGCGAGATGGTGTCTACTGCACCCATGCTTCTTCATGAGTAGAGTCAGGGTCCTTCTTGGAGTTTGGCTCTTCAAACGGCGTATAGGCATAGAGCATGGGGGCGATCCCCACTTTCTCGTTCCTGCAGCTCAGGCTGGATGCGCTGCGAGTGGGTCATGCATCAAATTACTGAGTAACAGTCCGGACTGCATTCGCCGACGGTCTCCCGCAGGCAGACCGTTGAAGAGCTCTGGCAATCACTAACACTAATCGAGTCTCCGACTCTGAGTTATTGAGCCTCTGGTGAAGAAGTATGCAGTCAGCGAGAAGTCTACCTGATGTGGTCAAAATCGAACCTCCTGCTCTTCGGAACCCTTCCGCCTCCAACTTAGCCCCTGTTACTGGCTCCAGACAGCCCTAAATTAATTCCCTCTATTGTCTCCATATGAAGGTCTCATTTACCCGAGAAAATCACCGTTAATGACTTAGCTTCGCCAATCTCTCCATACCCATAGTGGGTAACAAGCTTCCCTTGCCCTGCAGGAATATTTAGCTTGGGGGCCGAAAGAGTGGGAGAGGCTGTGAGGCTTTAGAAGCGGGTCCTTCAGGGTCCACCCCTCTCAGCCTTCCGCCGGATACAAGCGCCCGTTTGGCGACCAGGGTCTGAAGGCATTGAGGGAGGTTTCCTGCCACTTATAGATCAGGTTCGATTGAGGAAGGCAAACCGAGAGACTCACTTAGGCAACCTGCTGATTTAGACTGTTCCGGGGCACGTGACGAGCACTATCGCATTCACAGTCCAGGACAACAGGAAGAATATCCTGCTATCCCGCGAGCTCAGTGAACTTCGAATCGCATCGGTTTTTGATTGCTTTTCGACCGCTGTACACCAAATCTCTATTTTACCGTGGTTCAACGGATACCCTGTTACTTAACTCTATGGTTGACTCGCAGTCATTGGTGCTGGTCTTGTGGAGAATTAATAGCTCAAAAGATGCCTGAGATAATAGAATGTCTTTACTGTGATCGTCATCGCATTGAATGCAGTTTTATTCCAGAGCCACGCAATCTGCTTCCCAATGCTTGTATAACCCTTCTTTCTGCTTCACAGTATCTTGGAGGTGTTTTCCCTCACCCTTGCAACAGCAAAGGTTGAACTTCTGCTCGGAAAAGCCGACTGTGAGGCCGACACACTGCATGGTGTAACATTTCGGTTTCGGCCTTGATTCCCCCCACGTGACCCGACCCCGAGCTCAAGACCGAGGCCGACCCCGACCCCGAGACGGACATACCTAATCCAGCCCAAACCTCGGATTTATGCAAGGCAACGACTTTTTCTCGTCTTATCGCCGAGTGCATGCCACGCCTGAATAAAGGAGCATCATGCTCACAATTCATCTTTAATCTCAACCACATCTCATTCCCGAGAAAGGCAGAAGTCCAATCATGTCTCGATCGGAAGAGGCTCACCAGCACCATCCGCCACACAATGGAAAAGCCGTGCTAGCCCGTGTTTTGGACGAAATGGGGCTCGTCACCGTCTGGCGGTCCCCGCGCGACGTGAAGCTCCTCTGCGCCCAGCGGTTCGTGCGGCTGTTCGCCTACGGGGCCTCCACCCTGATCCTCGTGTCGTATCTCTCCGCGCTGGCCATCTCGGAGGAACGCATCGGATTATTTATGACCTTGACCTTAGTCGGGGATGTGGTGATTAGTTTCCTGTTGACGTTGTTTGCGGATGCGATGGGGCGGCGGGCGGTCTTGTCGTTGGGGTCGGCCTTGATGGCGGGGAGCGGGGTTGTTTTTGGCCTCGGGGCTGGATTCTGGGGGTTACTGGCTGCTGCGGTGTTGGGAGTTATCAGTCCGAGGTATGTCGCTTCGTATCTTTCTCTTTTGCTTCTGCGGTTTATATATATATATACTTTTTCCTTTCTTCCCTGCTACCTATATCGACCGTATCTCGTATGAGGAGGATCACGCTAATCCAGCTTCCAGCGGCAACGAGATCGGCCCCTTCCGGGCGGTGGAGGAGTCCACGCTTGCGCATCTGACCCCCCACGAGCATCTGAGCGACATCTTTGCTTGGTATTCTCTCCTCGGGTCGGCGGGGACGGCCCTGGGCATGATGTCGTGCGGGTGGGCTATCAAGTTCCTGCAAGTCACGAAAGGGTGTGATTTCATCACCGCCTGCCGGGTCATGTTCTTTGGGTATGCTGCGGTCGGGGTTGTGAAGTTGGTTCTGACCCTCTGCTTGAGTCGAAAGGTTGAGGCGAGCCAGGAGGAGGACCGTGTAGCGGAGGAGGCGCAGGAATCTGGCGAGACTGAGGCGCTGCTGGGTGATCGTCCACGCGAAGAGTCTCAGCAACAACAGCAGCCGCCGCCAAAGAAGGATAAGCCCTCACTCTTCGCTGCGTTTGATCGTGACCTCCTGAGCCTGGTGCTGAAGCTGTTCCTGCTCTTCGGATTAGACTCGTTTGCTTCAGGGCTTGCATCGCTGTACGTTCTCTCCTCTTCACGCTTTCTGCCTTCCGGATACATGCTAAGCTGGCTGCAGTTCCTGGATGACATACTTCTTCAAACGCAAGTTCTCGCTCCCCGAGAGCGAGCTGGGGTCGATTTTCTTCACCACGTCAATCATTTCCGCCGCGTCAATGATCGTCGCCTCTTCCATTGCAAAGCGTATTGGTAACGTCAAGGTCGGTTTTGGCCCTTTTATATCCTGAATTTCTCCGCTTCGAATGTTGCTGAGATTGACTCCCTCCGCAGACAATGGTCTTCACCCACCTCCCCTCCGCCATCTGTCTCGCCATGATCCCATTTCCCTCCGCCCTTCCCCTGGCGCTGATGTTCCTGATCCTACGATCGTGCACACAGAACATGGACGTGGCCCCGCGGTCGGCCTTCCTGGCCAGCGCCTTGCCGTCGGACAAGCGCACCGCCATCATGGGCGCGGTCAATGTAGTCAAGACCAGTGCGCAGAGTATGGGCCCGCTGATCACCGGTGTGTTGGCTAGTAGAGGGCTGTTTGGTGCCTCGTTCACTGTGGCTGGTGTTCTAAAGGCATGCTATGATATCGGCATGTTGGTTTGCTTTGGTGGGCGGAGTGCGCGGAGGTAGGCGGGGATGGGTCAAAGAACTACCCAAAAGCATTGTTTAGAATTGAGGTTTTTTTTTTTTTTCTCTTTTCATTGGGGCGCACAGGTGCGGTATACTTTTGGTGAGAGCGAGGATGTCTCCCTGAGCTTCAATCATCTGCCAAGCCAGATCCCAACCAATGTCTGCGATGATATTTTGGTCCCCCTACCCGGAGAATATGTGTCACCAATGTGTCGCGATTCATCAGCACCTTGTGTCACTCGTATCGGGAATTAGATATTAATGCCATCACTCCGCGGGGGCGATGACATTGCTGATAGTGTTCCCTCTCCCAGGGTTCCCTGTGCTTGAGACCATGTTTATTGTCCGATGGGATGGCTTCATCTCTGCTCGACCATGGTTCCATCGCTCGCAACCTTGTTCTCTAGACGCTTGCTTACCCGCTATTTGTAGCGACCTTATATAACCTGTGTATAGTCTACCTTTGTTGAACACAACATCTCGTTCCTGACCGGGCCGTTATACCCTCTGTTCATACGTAAGTCCAAGCCTTCCACCCTTGCGGACCACCACCAATGTCCCTCAGCGACCTCCTCGTCGACACCTGTATTATCGGCGGCGGCGCAGCAGGTGCCTACGCCGCCTACCGCCTGCACCAGCTGAACCACACCGTCGCCATCGTAGAGCGCGGCCCTCACCTGGGGGGCCACACCGTCACCTACCGCGACCCAATCCTCACCAACAACCAGCCCATCGACTACGGGGTCACCTGGCTCCAGAACCTGCCCGTGATCCGCGACACCTTCGCCCACTACCACGTCCCCCTAGTCAAGGAGAAAATCGACTATGCGATTGACATGTTCGACTTCGCCAGGGGGGAGCCCATCACTCCGCTCCCCGCCAACGAGACCACCGCTGCGCTCGACCGCTACAGTACCCTCCTCGCCCAGCACCCTTACCTCGCCACCGGGTTCGAAGACCTCCCCGATCCCGTGCCGGACGATCTAGTCGCGCCGTTCAAACAGGTGATGGACAAATACCATCTAGGCGGGCTCCTCGACACCTTCAGCTCATGGCTCAGTGGTCTCGGCGAGTGGCCGGACTACCCGACGCTGTATGTGATGAAGTACGTGGGGACGGACTACCTGGCCGGCCGACTTCAGCTGGGGTGGGTGCGGCCGAAGAGCCACGATGCGAGCGAGATCTACCGGGCGATGGAGCAGGAGTTGCGACAGAGTCAAACGTTGTTGTTCAACAGCAGCGTGGTGAGGGTGGATGCTCGGGACTCTGCTGCTGCTGCTGCTGCTGCTGCTGCTGACCGCGTGGTGGTGGATGTGGCTAGTACGGTGGACGAGACACGAAGGCCGATCACACCAACCACACGCCGTCGGCGCATCCGTGCAAAGACCCTCCTCTTCGCCGCGCCTCCCTTACCCGACCGCCTCGAGGTGCTGGGCCTGGATGAAAGGGAACGAGCCCTGTTCCGCCAGTTCAAGGACCCATGGTTATACACGGCGCTGGTACGGGTGGACGGGTTTCCGGACTACACCTTCCTGGAGAACCACGGGAAGGACCACCCCTTCCATCGCCCGCGGCTCCCGGCGGTGTTGGCCTTTCGACCGACGGAGGTGTCTAAGATCGTCAGGGTCACGGTGGGGAGTACATCGCGGGGTCTGTCGGAGGCGGAGGTGGGGAACTGCATCCGTGCCGGGGTGGACAGTGTGCGGCGCAGACTGGGCAACGGCGGTGGCGGCAACGCGTCGGATCCGGAGATCCTGGTGGTGCGCAATCACTCGCCTTATACGCTGACGGTCTCGGGAGCGGCGGTCGCGGCGGGGTTCTATCGGCAGCTGAGTGCTTTGCAGGGCTACCGCCGGACCTACTACACAGGCGCGACATTCGATACGCATCATATGCCCCAGGTGTGGATGGTTACCGATCAGGTCCTGCAGAGGCATTTACTTCCCGAACTGCGGGGGTGAGAGGTTGACATTACTAGGGCTTCTGGGTTGAGCTACGGTATTTTCTCCCGTGTTACTGTGATAATCTGGCTAGATTGTAGCTGAAGGACTCGTATTCTGAGGTCGTACAACCATGTCGGGTGCAATAATCAGATAGGGGCATGCTCGGTATATATACCGAGATCATGGGGGAACATGAAGGGGGGGGAATTGACAATAGTCTCTTCGACACGACGAGACCTAATCCCAGCTGTCTCGTCCATCTTGGAACAACTGCTTATGCTTTTCAGCTGCTCTGTGCTCAGAGAAAGTCGATCGATACATTGAGCGTCTGCCGCCGCCGCGCTATATACATTTTTCCCATTCGGGCCCTTCACCTCACCGTTACCGTAGTTCTACAGTACAAGCTGCCCGAGGTCGGTCGCAAGTTCGTGCATTTCAGGCAGGCGGTAAGTTACCCGACACTGCAGCCCCGCGGGGATGCTATCGGTACAGCTTTGTGTGCGACCCTCATCGCAAATCACAGTTGAGTCATTAATTCCAAACAGTTACCAAAGAAATATGCTTAAACTAAGTTCAAACAAATTATTCCAACTTGTAGTCTAGTGATTTAGATCCATGCAATCAACTACGTGTATCCAAAATGCCCCCCAGCAACGCGACTATTGCACAAACTCAGTAGAAACATCATATCTCCGCACCCGAGAATCCCTCCAGAGGGACCGGCGCAATAAATTCCTCAAAACTGCGTCATATGTACAAGACAGTGGGATTCACCACGCAGAAACCCATTTTTGATTCCCCAAGTCTACTGCTTCTGCTCCTCGCCGGGCACCAGCTCTTCGAACCGACGGAGATCCATCTCCTTCTCGAGCAAGGGGATGACGTAGGGGTCGAAGGTCTTCCAGTAGGGGTTCTCGAGGTGGTACTTCTGGGAGCCCTCGTTGAGGTAGCGCTCGACGATGCAGAAGTCCTGCTTGTCGTGGACGCTCTGCATCACGAACCAGGAGAGGGTCTCCTTGTCCTTGGAGTAGACGGCCGAGGCCTCGAGGAGCTTGGCGTGCAGCTTGTTGATGCTCTCCTCGTCGGGCTTGGCGCGCATGTCTATTGTTCCCGGGAGGTAAAGTTAGTTCTGTGGATTCGATATGTTTTTTTTGGGGGGGAGGGGTAAGGATGCAGAGTCGGAGGTTTCACGTACGGACAACGATGGTGTAGACCATTTTGGCGGATTGTGTGGGGGTTTTTGGTTTTTGAGAGGTTGCGGAAGAGGTGAGTAGTGAGGTTGGAGGAGAGAGTTGGGCAGTGAAGAAGCTCCGGGGAACAAGCAGGGTGGTCGGATTGTTTTTGTACTGTAGGTTGGAGAATCAACCCCGGTTGACTGAGCTCCTGAACCCCCACCCCTCACAGTCTCACCCTCAGTGCCCCTCGGTGGGGCAACGGAGGGGAAAAGGCATTCCAGCTTGGAAAGTTACTCCATACTTTGGCCCGGTAAAGCGGGCGGTTGTTCCCCGCGTGATTGTGGTCAGGTAAGTTTGTTCACCAGTCGCTACAGGTACAGGCTGAGATAGAAAACAGTATTGGGGTTGTGCATGACGATCTATGCCGATTCAGCTGGCTGTAGGCTTGTGTATTTTCATAGAGCGTTCGCGAAGCCGAAGGTCGCACCCCGAATCTTGAGGGTAGGGCATCCCGATCAGGTGGATCCGAACTCTGTTTCGGGGTTTCTTCGGGGGGCCACCGATGCCGGCGACCCCATTGGCGGGCGAGCTGGAGTCGTGCGTCATACTCCAAGTTACCTACGAGTCGTTGGGTGATGGGCGCATGCTGTAGAATCAGCTTCCAACATCAGCGTTGTCTCCGTGTTTATTGCGATCCTTGGTCGGGGTGCGGCGATATATCATGTGTAAGACGCTACTTAGGTCTGCTGTTGCTAACCGGTGATAATTACAACAGAAATGGGAACTTAAACAGCCATAGGTACAGCAGTAAGAAATGTCCCAGGCTCTGGCAGTACTTGGTGTGTTCTCCTGGAAGAAAGAGGGAGAGGAGAGGGAGGGCCAGCAGTAGCCGACCGCCTATAACAGCCACGAGGCAGAACAACAGATAAGTACTCCGCAAAATAGCCCTAACTGGAGAGTCTAGATTTGTGGCGAATTGCAGTAGGCAAGACCCTGCTCGACAAAGATTCAGACTGCAGCTCACTCAATTTTCCTTCTTTGATGTGCCTTTATCTCAATGACGCTATTTCCTATCTGGGACTAGCGCCATATCAATGGCGGAACAACCCGGGTTGTATAGGCAACCCCTCGGGGAGGCATTTGAGAGTGAAAAAACCCTACAAAAAAGAAATGCTTTGATGCTACTCCGATGCGGGGAATCGAACCCCGATCTCCTGTGTGAAAGACAGGTATGATAGCCGTTACACTACATCGGAGGTAGTGGAAGAAAGGTTTTGTTTTCATGATGAAGTAGCACAGCTTGTGTAGCTATCATAATCTCGACACAGTGCCCAGGTCCTCCACCACCCCCCCGCCCGGAACCACCGTCACGTCACAACTGTTCAATTAGGCTAAATACTCTTGGTAGCAGAGGGCAGGAAGCTGCAGAACTGGCCTGGATCACCTGTTCTCGAGCATCTTACCTCTGCGTAATCCCTATGCCTCTAAGTTATAGAGCGTTGTCCTTAGCACTAGTTGGAACTTTAGACACCGCTCTAACACCAATTCTACGTGTCTGGGGTACCCTGGTGATAATCCTTGATGTTAGACTGGAATAGAAGTGAGTTCTTCTGCAATAGCCTACGTTCTTTGATGAGAAGTAGGGCTAAGTCTGGCGTACAGTTTAGCCCGGCGTTCGCCCTAATCGTTTTTCCGTCTCTGCCGGCAGTCCAGTCTCCGGGGCGTTGGAGCTGGGTATGTGTGCCTAGGCGCAGATGACCTTCACAACTCAAGACTGGGCTTCTTTCCGGAGCCAAGACCTCGGCGGATGCAGTAGGTAATTCCGAGCAGACTCACCTACGTACCTCGAACATCTTCTCAAGACTCTAACCGTACTAGCCGTACAACCCCTCAACCTTGGTCCAAGAACAAAAACACAAGATCATGGAACGATCCGTCACCGTGCAGAACACGAGTCAGCTAGCGAGCCTTGTCTCAAAACCCCCTCATACTCCTCCTCGCCTCGTGTCAGCCTAGGTGTCCCTCACTCGCGATGTTCCATGCGCCACTGCCCACTACGTAGTTAACTGATTGATCCAGCCACCCCCCGGCCAACCCGAATGGCACACTACGCTGCACCCGCAGCATTGAATACGGGAGGGACATGGGTTGACAAGTCTAGGGTCTGCATGTCTCGTCCCTTCAGCTGCACCGAGCAGGCCACTCAGCCCGCAGGGATGCGGATACAGGCAGTAAGAACCCCATCAGTTGCCCAAAGAGGCAGGCCGGATCCGCTGCGAGCCGACGCGGGATTCGCCCTAGCGCAGGTCGGCAACCAGGCACGGAGCGATAATCGCTCGTATTCCATCTGCATTCTGCACTGCACAATCAGAAGTCTGGACAAGTTGTGAGTACCCTAAGCCGCTAGTTTCGTTCCTCGGTGGCGAAAAAAATAGTCTGCCAGGGTCTTACCCGAAGAGCGGGGGGGGTTTTTCGTTCTCTAGTGTCGCCAAAACCACACCCTGATCCCTGCTTCGATACTGCCAAGACGGTAGGTGTCTTGCCGCTGCAGAATTCCTATTCGCGCTGTCTCAACTATGGGGATAATTATAGTACTAGAAGGAGTATGGTAGTATCCACGGTTGAAGATGGGTCGGTTCGAAGAATGGTAAAAAAAAAAAAAAGAGACCCCTGCGGAGGTGGGGTTGTCTACCATCAATCCATGGATCGGATCGACTATATAAAGGGGGAGGCAGAGGGCAGGGCTGGTCTTCAATCAATCTCAACCATCACCAAATCGAATCCCCATCTCAAACAGCCATTCAGACCCGACAAAATGAACGCCCTAACTACCGTCCTCACCGTCCTCACCGCTGCCACCAGTACTACCAGCGCCCTCTCCATCCAACCGCGCGACCCGGCCCCGGCCTCCATCACCCCGCCCGAGGGCTGCCCCATCCCGACCTGGGAGGTGACCTACTTCCACTGGTTCAACGGCTCCAAGTCGCTGGACTGCATCCACAACCCGGCCGACATCGCCTTCAAGGACTGCCTGTGCGGCAACGCCTGGTGCGACCAGGACCCGGCCACCTGCAACGGCACCATGGTCCCCGTCTGCTACACGGGCATGCCCAACTACCAGCCCTGGGGGTACGGGCCCCCGCAGACCCTGGCCATCGACTTCGCCGACGGCCTGGAGTGCCGCGACACGTACATCGGCTACCGCATCCACGACATCGCCCACGGCGAGTCCAACTGTGGCTACGCCGACCGCGGCCTGGGCCGCATCGTCTCGTTCTACGGCACGTCCAACGAGGACACCTCCGTCGGCCATATGGACTACGAGCTCGGCTCCGGCCATGCGCTCACCTGCAACAACGGGAGCAAGATCACCTACCATGGGAGTGTGGATTTCCAGCTGAACTGCGTGCATGATGCGTTCTTCAATGCGACGTGTGATGCGGCGCCGTTTGAGATTCCGGTCTTGAGCTATGAGTGGGTTTCTTAGACGACTGTTTGGGGGAGTTGGGGTGAGTAGTGGGGTGAGTGGGCATGGGAGGGGAGGTGGGGTGAAGGAGTGGGAAGGGCAATTAGGGCTGGGGTGAGCGGAGGTGTAGATAGCTGCATGTGGTTTAGATGTGTGATGAGCAATGAATATCTGTATATCTGTGAATCACCGAATGATGACGGTATGGCTTCGTCTCGAGTGACTCTAGACAATGATCCTAGAACTCTTTACAATAAACAATAATGTAGGTCTCTATTGCAGCCCACAGTGCAACACGAAGCCTCACTGCGTCGGCAACGGAAACTCGGCACATCCCACCGCCAACGCACTCACCGGCATCAGACTCGACACCGTCCCGTTCGCGCCAAAGGTCATCGCCTGCCCGTCAGGGGTATACGCGGGCCAGCCCATGCTCGGGAGGGCGTGGACCGGGTCCTTTATAAACGCCAGGTACAGATCCTGCCAGCGCGTCGACACCGCCCGCTGCAGCGCCGTCGGCGCACCCCCGTACCACTGGTAGGTGCCGAACAGCAGCGGCAGCTCGGAGGCGTGGTACGCCTTCTCCCACGGCCGAGGCGAGGTGTTCGGGAAGTGCGCCAGATTGTACCAGCGGAAGGTGAGCGAGGAGGTGTTGTAGCGTAGTCTGCGGCAGTTGTCAGATGTTCCCTGCCCAGACAAAGTCTTCATGTGGGGAACTCACTCATTATAGTAATTCGCCGGACACTGATCCGTCTCCAGCGTCTGATGATGGATATACGTCTGGTTCGGCCCCTGCGGACCCACCCACGCGACCAGCGAGGCTTCTTCGTTGGCGTTTGTGCCGAGGATCGCGGGCTTCTCAGTCATTGTTCGTTAGCATACCTCCCGCTCAACCTTTTATTTAGTAATTCAAGCCCATGGGGAAGGGGGGGGGGGGGGTACGGGGTACCGTAACGTACCGGTA